CTGCCTGCGGGAAGCCCGGGCTGGGAACAGGCGGGGGGAGGAGGCTGTGGGGAAGGCGTCCAGGCGGAGGGAACTGCAGTGCCGAGGCCTGAGGCTAGGGGCAGGAGGCCAGCCAGCACTGTCCCTGTCCCCAGGACGCGGGTCCCCAAGCTCTCTCGCCCAGTCTCTCTTCTCATCTGATCCCAGGTCTGTCTGCTCAGAAGAGCGCCTTCCCTCCAGCCCGCTGGCCGCAGGCCCTGCCTGTCGCGGTGGTGCCGGGGTCTAGCGGGGCTTGCTTGGCACAGGGGGCGTGCGGCTGGGCTGGTGGGGCGCGGCCTCTCGCAGTTTAAGGCGCTTGGCGGGGATTAGGCCCAACGCTAATGAGGTCAAGGTGGAGGGTTTGATTCTGACGTGACCCCGGTGGCCAGACGGAGGGGGCACGCTGGATGCTGGGCAGCGCCGCTGCACCCCGGCCCGGCCGCCCCGCCCCCACGGTCAGCGGCACCTCAGCCACCTGCCGCTTGACTGCTGGGGAGCTGTCTGCATTCTGTTCCTGTGTTTTATGTCCATGTCCCAGGGGAGCCCCGGGGCCTGGGTCTGCCCAGAGCCCAGTGCGGTAGGAGCGTCAAGGCCTTCCCTGCGCCAGAAAGCGCTTCTTTTGCGTTTTGTTTGCCAATGTGCCCTGGGGCCTGGCGCGCAGCAGGCCCTCAAAGAACAATTGTTGAATGAACGAGTGAGTGGGGGGATGGATCTGGATGATCTCAGTAAGCACCTCTCTCTTTCTCAGGTTCCCCCTCTGTGAGAGAGTTTCACAGTCCCAACCTTAGGGCGTACTGAAATCACTGAGGTGCTCAATATTCTGTAAAGCCTGACAAAGGATTTAAGAAAACAACAAAAAATGCTGTTTATTCAGAGCAACAGGAGCAAGGTGAACTGGAAAGGTTGTTAGAAATCACCTACTCTTGGCTGGGTTCTGTGGCTCACGCCTGTAATCCTAGCACTCTGGGAGGCCAAAGCGGGAGGATCGCTTGAGCTCAGGAGTTTGAGACCAGCCTGAGCAAGAGTAAGACCCTTTCTCCATTAAAAAAAAAAAAAAAACAAGGCACCTACTCTGACCCTCCCTGCTGCACCCATTTTGCAGATGGAAAGACTGAGGCCCAGAGTCAGCTATGAGTTACCCGGGTCACATGACAGGTCAGGGACTGCCTGGGCCATAACCACATGGTCAAGTGGGCTTGTGGGCTCTCACCCCTACGCGGCCAGGCCTCCATCGGGGGCAGTCAGCTCTCAGGAAAATCTGTGCCATGAGAACAGTGCGGAAAGAAGGTTTAGCTGGGGAGGTGGGAAGGCCCTGGACTGAGTCACAGGCCTGGTGGAGCACAGGAAGCCCCAAGGGGAGAAGGTGGGTTCTAGAAGGCCGTGCCCGGCCCCTCTCTGGGCCCAGAGTGCTGGGACCCAAAACCTCGGGAGACGCACAGGCCTGCAGGGGAACCGACCTGCCTTCCCCACCAGAGCCGGCTCTCGGACCCCGGACCTTCCTTGGCTTCACTGTCCTCCCTCTGGGCAAGGCTCCTTTACGCCCCTCCTGCCCGGCTCCCTTCCTGTGCCTCGATTTCCCACTCTGTAAAGTGAGAGTGACAGTAGCGCCCGCCTCGTGGCTGCGGGCTGCTCCTTCAGGCCGGGCACGTGCCGCTGACAGGACGGTCTCCTCCTCGGTCTCCCTGAGGTCTCCGCCCCACGCACGTCCTGGGAGAGGCCTCCTGGCCCCCGCACACCAGGCCACCCGTCACGTGTGGTTGCCACGGGCCACTTCGCACCGTGGCGACGTCCTGTTTGTCTTCTTCCCGACCGGCCGCTCTCTAGAACACAGGGCCTGTTCCGCGCGCCGAGCGCCGCCAGGCAGTGCTCAGTAACACTCTTGACCGGAGGAGCGGCTCCTCCCCCCTGCGAGGAGGGCCCCACTCCCCTCTGGCACTGAGGAGTCCGGGCTGCGAAGGTGAGTTTCCTCAGCAGAGCCGGGATTCGAACCCGGGTCTGGCGGGCACCCCTTCATGTGTGAGGCAACCGAGAGGACCCACGTGTGGGTGGTGAGCAAGTCCAAGTGTGGGGGAGTTCTGAGCCACTGGCCCCTCCAGCTTCCTTCCGCTGGGGAGAGCCAGTGAGGGACTGCAGGGGTGCGGAGGGCCTGGGGGCGCCATCTGCAGACAGGTGCGGGGACTCGGGCTCCTCTGGAAGCCCAGCGCGGGGCTCGGACTGCGCAGAGGATTAGGGGCTCAGCCGGCAGCGCACAAATAGCTCTTAAGCCTCCGCAGGAGAGGAGTTGCTGGGTCAGCAGCCCCCTCCTCCTTCCTTACCACCCTCACCGGCTTAGCCCCATCTGGCTGCGTCACCAAGGCTACGTGTGGCCTTCAACTGAGCTGCGAATGTCAAGAGGGAGTAAGGGAAGGAGACAGACCAGCCCTCCTTCCTTCCATCCTCCCTCCCTCTCACCCCAACATTTGCCAAGCTCCTGCTGGGCACAGGGCCCTGGGCTGGGCACTGACATGGGTCCTACAGTTCCTCCCCTCGAGCAGCTCCCAGTCTGGGGGCAGCAGACAGGGACAAACGAAGAACAGTGAGAGATGGGAGTTTGCTCCCCGCCCTAGTGCCAGGGCAGCCCTGAGGAGCAGGAGGCGGACCAGGAGGCGCTGGGAGGCTCCCCAGAGTGGCTGGCCTCGGAAAGCGCCTTCCAGGCAGGGCAGTGGGGGGGGGCAGCGGGGAGGGTGTGGAGGTGCTGGGGCCCCAGGGTGGCATGGTGGGGACAGAGACCAGGCCTACTAGTCAGGGTGTCAGCTGGCTGGCAGTGTGGAGCCTCTGTGGGTGACAAGCAGGGAGGGGCGTGACCAGGTTTCCATTCTAGGAAAATGTTCCTGAGTCTGGCTGGAGGAGTGCCAGGGGTCCTGGGGCTGAGTGCCCTGTCCAGTGGTGGCCTCTGCCATGGGCGCAAGACCCCAGCCGGGGAGAGACACAGCAGCGACCTAAGGGAAAAGGTGCCTGCCCACCTGTGCAAGAGCCACAAGGAGCTCCTGGCTTGACAGCCTTGCGGGGGGAAATGGGAAACCAAGGCCCAAAGACCCTCTCTGGTTGAGGCAGGGCCAGGGTCAGGTCCACCTAAGGTTGCCAGTCCTCTTCCTCCTCCTTCCAAGGATGTAGGCACAATGTTGAACACTTGGAGGCAGGATCAGGGTCGAGTCCCAGCCTGAACTACCACCAAGATGCGCAGCCCCCGGTGGTCGCTCCTCTCTGGGCCTGCCTCCTCTTAGTTAAATGGACATCTCCGTACCCCTGTGGTGCCTTCCTCGCCACGTGAGGGCTCGATGGGGTTGAGCCCCATTCGCACACTCAGACTGAGGCTGGAACCTGTGTCCGAGCAGGAGGGGCCCTTCTGTACAGCTGTGGACGCAGCCTCAGAGAGCGCACCAGACTTCAGCAGGACCCGGACCTGATGGGGACAGGAGAGGGGCAGAACACGGTGCTCATGTGCACTCGGGTTAGCATGCCGCCTTGGCTCAGTGCTTATTTGTTGAATGAAAGAAAAGAGAATGTTGCTAAGCCTCAGTTTCATCATCTGCACGATGGGCAGCCTTGGAGGCTGCTGAGGACGAGATACGGTGAGGCGTGAAGTGCCTAGAGTGGGGCCGGGAACTCAGGAAGTGCTCCATGGAGTGGGCGCTGCAGCCAGACTCAGGCCTCCCGAGCTCAGCCTGCCCTGGGTGGCTGAGAGTGCTGCAGGCTCCGGCGGGCCCTTCCCCCGCTTCTAGCCAGGGACCATCTGATCTGTCACTGTGATTGACTGTTGGGGAGCTGGAGCTGTTTTCTTCTCCCGCTCCCCTCTTTTTCCCAGCCATATGCAAATGACTTCAGTTCAAGTAACGCGCTAATGGAAACCCTAACACATTAATAAATGTTTAGCGAGCGAGAGCATGCATGATCGAAGTAATTAGACACTCAGTGGAGGAGCTCTGTTGGCACAACTGTCTGGCTCCCTTTCTTCGTTTTCCTCCATCATCTCCAAAGAGAGATGCCAAGGGAGGCAGGGAGGAAGGGCTGGGCTGGGCTGGGGCAGGGGTCCTGGGCTCTGGCACTTTCCACTCGTGACTTCTGCAGCTGCTGCCCTCTCTGGGCCTCAGCATCTTTGTCCCTCCAGTGGCACATCTGTCCTGCCCTGCCCACCTCACAGATGAGCTGTAAGGTACCCATATTGCATCGTGAGGGCTGGCTTTCAGTGTGGCCGCTCACAGTTCAGTTCCCTCTCTCCTGCTTGTGTGCAGGGCTCTCGGGCTTTGCAGAAAGCCTCCATCAGGGAGGGCGTGGGCGAAGGGAGCAGGGCCTCGGGGCTGGACAGTGGTGGGCCTCCCCTTGGGACCCCGACAAGCCCCCTCCCCAGCCCCACTGGAAGTCATGGCCCTTCCTCATAGGGCTGCTATGAGAACCGAGACATGTGAAATGTGGCTAGCACACAAAAGGTCCCCGATAAATACGTGTTTTCTTTCCGCAGCTTCCCACCTGCTGCCCCTCAGGCCCTCGAGCTGCAGACTGGACACTGTTGGTGCCCAAGGGAATGTGCCTTGGCGGGCTGGAGTCTCCCGTGCCAAGGAGCTGGAGGGAAAGTAGAAAGCCTCGGCTGGGTTGGGGACCCTCTGCAGGGCTGAGGCAGGTGGCGGCAGGAGGCTCTAGAGTCCAGGGGAACAGCCCTTGCCTTGACCAGGTTACCACCCGGGAACCTATCTCAACCTCTTTGCCATCTTCTGTGGAGCCAGGTATCTTACTTTCTTAAGACGGATGCCCATTAAACCAAAATAAATAAACAAAAAAAAATACCCACTCTCCTACCCCTTCCCATATTGTCATTTTGATGAGATTAAATTTTAAGAGCACACAAATGTAATGTTCCTTTCGGATCAAATTAGAAACAGGTGCATTTTTGCATAAGGAAATTAAGTTGCAGACAATATGAAGATTTGCTAAAATGCAGACACTGATGAAAATAAGTAGCCCTTTTATTTGTCATTATTGAGGCAATCTGTTGGCAAAGTATACGTGTTAACGGTCTGACAGATCTGTGGACTCCAGCAGGCTGCCACGAACAACTTGGAGCCGTTCTGCAAGTAACAGATTTTTTTTCTTAGAAAAGATATGTACATTCCCTTCCCCATCTCCTGGTGCTATTTACAAGGCATGAAATGCCATAAATAGGAATTCCGTGGTTACACAAGGCCCCTCCCTAAAATACAAACTTCATCTGGGCAGAAGACACATTCTGACAGCTTAACTCTTTCTTCTCCTCCGTAGCCCAGCGGACGGCAAGGCGGCCGGAGGAGCGCTGGCGCCGCGCCGGTCAGGGGCCGGGGTCGTCGATGGGCCTGCGGCAGTAGGGGCAGCAGGTGTGCTGCAGCACCAGCAGCTCGTAGTCCTCCGAGTGGAACATCTGAGGAGAGAGGGCCGCGAGCCCTGAGCCTGGGCTGGTCGCTGCCGGGACGGGGACTTGGCAGTGAGGCGGCTCGAAACAAAGGCCCCCCCTGCCTTTGAGGGTGGGAGAGGGGTCGGGAGGGGGTGCTGAGGCCCCCTTTTTCAGAATGAAGGTCAAAGGCACACCACACTTGCCCGGCCCTCCTGGATTTGGGGAAGGTGTGGACAGCACAGAGTCAAGGAGTCCACTCCAGACAGCACATGGCATGTAAGGAGGTCGAGGATAGCCCAACCTTTTCCCCAACACGGGGCCAAGGCCGTGCCCTGCAGAGCTCCCTTGTGCTGCTCCTCCCAGACACTCGGCCTTGCAGAGGGGCATTTGGGAAATGGAAAAGCAGCCGAGAGAAGCGCACACGAGCTGCCGCGGCGGGCACCGTACCTGGAAGCAGGAGGGGCACATGGTGATGGAGGCATCAGGCAGCAGCGAGCGGAAGTACTGCCACCGCAGGGGCGGCGGCCAGCGCTTGATGAGGACGTCCCGGCGGCTCATGGAGCGCAGCACCGACCGGCTCACCACCACAGGCACGAACTCCGAGCCACCCTGCTGTAGGGCCGGGTGGGAGGGAAGCAGGGCACCGGTGCCCTCACTCAGCCACGGTGACATGTTTATGTGGATTATGATACCAGGATCTTGGGGGGTGGCCTGGGAGGACTCCCTTGGGGGTGACAAGCTCTTCCTCATGCCAGAGCTGAAGCTGCCTCCCCATCAGGGCAGCCCTGGCTCCCAACACTCCCATCAGGCTGCCATGTCTGGAAGTTTTGGCCAACCCTCCTTGGCCACAACCTCTAGTGGAGGGTCCCTGTGTGCACAGGAGAAAGGACCCGAGACCACCCTCCCACAGGCCTCAGTGCCTTGGTAGCCATCACTCAGACAGGTTCCCTCACCTCAAAGCTCAGCTTTGCCGTGAATGGGTCATCGTCTCCCATGGAGTCCACGGTCTCATCCAGCCGTAGGGTCTGGGAATCTGTAGGGGTCTGGTCAGGGATGGAAACTGAGGCCGAGCAGAAACACACCCCACCCTCCACCCAACGTGTTAAGACTCACAGGGGATCAGCCAGGTTTTGTATCTCCCCACAGCTCTGGGGACAGTGGCAAGGCCTGTGGAATGGGTTTCTAGGTAGAGGAACAGAAAGGACACAGGCCATGGAGGAGCTGGTCCCAGTGCACAGGCTAGGGAGGGGGAGAGAAGGGTCCCTGCTGCCCTCAGCCACCTCCCCACACAGGCCACACGTGGCTCCTGCCGGCGGGCCGGCCAGAGCACCGTGCAGGCAGAGGCCTGTGAGCCATGGCGAGCGGGTAGAAATGATGGGCCCAGATGGAAAGCGTGGCAGCAAGCCCGGCATTCCTGCAAACGCTCGGCAGTCACCAGGTAGGCTGCAGGCAGTCACGATGGCTCACAGGTCATGCTTCGCAGAGCCAAAGGGGGTGAGAGCTCCAGCAGACCCCTAGGCCAGGCAGACTAGCGTGGAGGCCCCTGGAAGCACCCCCTCTGTGGAGGACCTGATGTGACAAAGGCAGGCCCAGGGAATGGACACAGCAGTCCCCACCTGGCTAGCACGAGTTTTGTACTTCTGCAAACAGCTCCGTGTCCCCCCTCACAAAGCGGACGGCGGCATGCCCCGGGAGCCTGCGAGAAAGCCAGGCCCCCAGCCCCAGCAGGCGGACAACTCAGCCACAAGGCCCCAGGTGACAGGCACGCACGTTGCCTATAAGACACCCCTCCCGCGTTCAGCCGCGAGCCTCAGTGTGAGGGCAGAACCCGGCCTGGACAACTACCACAGTCCCTGCTAGCCACAGGGACAAGCTGAGGTGTGCCCTGGGGTTTTTGCTGACACAGCTGGAAGAAGCGCCAGCCATTTCTGGGGGTTGCGAGGCTGATGGGACGTGGGGTCAGCACTGCTGGTGGCCATCTCTGTCACCGTGCTGAGGGGTGGGCGGGGTGCTGCTGCCCAAGAATGAAGCCACACTGAGGACAGCAGAGCCAAGAGAGCCAGAGACACCCCGGAGCGAGCAGCTGGACCCGCCACGGTGCTGCTCCTGCTAGGCTTCCTCACACACCTTAGCCTGCCCAGCCTCTGAGTCATGGTTTCTGTCGCCTGCATGTAAAAGTCAGCTGACCAGGAGAGTGAGGGCCACCAATATGGACATCATATCCTGTGTCAGCCACTTAAGGCTGCTTGTGGCCAGTAGGAGCCAGGGCGGGTGGGAGACCCTCGCGGGACTGAGGCACAGGGCAAGACCAAGGCGCCACTCACCACTTCTGGGTCTGCAGACCCTAGCCAGCTCTCTGCCCATCTCTAGCCCCCGCCCCTGCCTCCCTGGGCTTCTCCAATCTCTCTGAGGCCACAGGGCTAGACGCAGAGCGGCTACCACCCCCTGGGCTCAGCCCTCCTGCCTGCTGTGTTGCCCCAGGGCCACTGCACAATGGCCAAGCACACAGGATACTGTTGCTCGCAATTTCTTGCCATTTGTTCTCCCGCTTGGGTCTTGGTGCCTCCAGGTCAATGAGGGAGACGGCTTCTTCATCAGTGATCCCCTCCTCCAGGTAGAACTCAACCAGGTGCAGCACCTCTGGAGGGCACAGGGCACGGAGAGGGTGCTGAGGGGACTGGTGGTCAGGGAGGTGGGGAGACCACAGAGTTCCTTCCCCACCCCAGGCAGGCTCCCCCCTCTCTCCGTGTGGCTTCTGCTCAGCTACTGGCAAAGGGCTTCGGATCCTTTGTCAACATCGAAGGGGCTGGGCCTTGAGAGCCCATCTCAGCCTCCCAGCTGAATGCATGACCACAGGCCTCTATTCCTGGGGCATTTCATTACGCAAAGCCCTGCACCAGGTTCCAAGAAGTGAGTGCTTCAGGTTTGGGCAGCACTGGGTCCTATCTCTGGGGACACTAACAATGACTCAGGGTGTCAGGCAGGGTGAGTGTCATACTGCCCCAATTTACAAACAAGGACATTCAGCGGGCTTTGGGCCTTGCCCAACATCTTGCAACCAGTAAGCAGTGGAGCGAGCCCAGCCACCTCTGGCTGCCTTATCCACACATGCAGGGACACAGGGACTCACCGTAGGAAGAGGCAGAGAAGACGAAGGGCTGGCGGCAGTTGATGCACACGTTGCCCAGGTTGTTAAGCAATGGGTTGTTGGTGGAGCAGCGGTAGCACAAGGGCACCAGCTCCTATAAAAACACAAGCACCACAGACTGCCTGAGGGAGCAAACCAGAGGTGGCACATGTCCGCCTCTCCCTCCTCCCCTTGGAAAGAGGAAAGGCCACCTAGTGAGCAGGGAGGAGGCACTGGGCCTGGGCCCAGGGTGCTCTGTGCTATAGTGAAGCAGGAGAAAGGCCTAAAGAAATATCTGAAGTCCTGTCACCTGGGACCCACTTCACAGGCAGGGCTCTATTCTCCTGGCAGGAACAACAATAACCACTGCCACCAATTACCAGCCACTTACCATGTTCCAGGCACTGTGATAAAAGAAGGAAATCAAGGCTCAGAAAGATTGAGCATAGCTAGAAAATGGTGGGGCTGGGATTCGAGCACATATGTCTGATGCTGAGTCCCTGCTCTGAGCTTAGAGGGGGGACTGTGGGAAAGAGCAGCTGTGGGGTTGAAGGACAGCAGGCTGGGGCACAGCACCCACTGCAGAGACTGTGCGGAAGATTTGCTGGAAAGCCAAACCTGGTTCCAGAAAGGGGGTGGGGAGGGCAGGGACTCCTAGGAGAGGGTCAGCCTGGCAGCCCGGCCAGAGGTACAGGCAGAGGCATCCGGGCATGGAGGTGTGAAGGGAGCCTGGGGAGGACTAGGAAGCAAAGGAGGCCAGGCTCCGGGCTGGGCCTGTGAGCTGGAGCACAGCAGGCTGTGTGGAGAACAGAGAGGAGAGGCAGGAGCAAGAGTTGGCCAGCCAAGGCTTGGGCAGGGCTGGGGGGCACAGAACCTTGAGAGAGTATAGCCATCTCTCAAACGGAACCCTGGCCAGGCAGGAAGTCATCAGAAGATATCCCAAGAGGAGAGGAGGAGGAGAAGGCTCCTGCCCAAGGTGGGTATGTCCTCACCTCACTGTCGTGGAAGGGCTTGGAGCGGATGGTCAGGCTGCCCAGCTCGATGGACTTCTGGAACCTCGCAGGGATCTGCAGGCCCTGCAGCTTGTCGTAGGCATGCCGGGCCAGCTTGTAGGCACCCAAGGCCTTGCTCTGCTTGGCCAGGGTGAACAGCGTGTTCCTGCCATTGACAGGGTTAAGGATGGCAAAGGCCAGCCCAGCCATAAGAGCTGGCTGGCACTGCCTACCCCTGGAGTGGGCCTTGTGCTGGTGCCAGTAGGGCACGGGAAGGAGCCTGGAGGAATGCTTTGCCCATTTGTGAGAAAGCTCAGGGATTTTTCCAGAGAGAAAGACAGTGCAGTTCCCATTAATATTTTAACTTTGCTTAGGTTCTCTGGGTCTGCTGATGGTTTGTTTTGGACCAGGCCAAAATGGTTCTTCCTGCCTTTCTGAGCCTGCCAGCCAGACCCTAGGACACCTGGCACCAAGTGCCCTCCGCTCCAGCCCTGCTGGGTGGGTCTGGTCCACACTGCCCGGGGAGCCACCCTCAGGCGAGGCTCACAGCGGCCACTGGGCACACAGTATCTGTCTGCCTACACTTCACCAAGGGCCCGCTGGATGCTTTCTGGGTGGCAGCCTCACCTGTTCTCTGGGGTCCCCTCTGAGCACCTTGGCCTGAGGCTCTGATCTCAGGTCACCTCAGATGCTGCCCTCCCCTGCCTGGCTGACCCTTCCACAGTCCCTCTCAAGGGCTCCTGCACCGTGGCCCTCCACAACTGCTCAGGGACTATGTCAGGAGATATTTCCAGATCCCCAGTGGATGGCACAGGGTGAGGCTTGCGGCAGGGATTTAGTCAAACTCTGTTGACTTAAACGACTTGCTGGAAAGGTTGGGTACAGGTGCTGAGGCTCCGCATGCATGGCTGTGGCCTCTTGTCTGGGACACAGATGACTGGCCAGTTGCAGGGGTCTGAGGCAGCAAAGGCACCTCTTGACTTGGGGGAGTTTGCCCTGAAATGAGAATGATGGGCTACAACCCTTTAGGGAGGCCAACTCTCACCACAGGGCCCTCTCCTGGGAGGGGTTTCCTTTAAGAAGGTGGGGCTGGGGCTGGGAAGGGGCTGAGAGAACAGGAGATTTAGAAGAGGACAGGGATAATTATGTCCCTTATGACTTTCAAGACCTCAAGATTTTGGTCATTTCCTGGTAGTTTTGGGCCACACAGGCCCTTCAGTCGCTTCTCTGCTTCTTGCCCCTCAGGGGTCCTCACTGGCTGGAAGAGGAGAAGCAACCCCCAGGCCAGTGTCCTGCTGCCTCTCCAGCCCTCCCGCACACCACGCTTGCTTCGCCTCCACCTCTGTGCCTTTCCACATGCTGGGCCTGCCCTGGTTGCCTCAGCCTGCAAGATGGACGTCTCTTCCTCCAGGCAGCTTCCCTGACCCCAGCCTAAGCCTCGTTCTACCTGCAAACACACCACACATCCACTGACCAGGCCCTGACCTGTGGCCTCTCTAACAAGATGGCAGCTTTGTCACCTGGAGCCTGGTCCAGTGGGGCACAGCAGCTACTCTGCACACCTGGGCTGAACAAATGCTTCCCACTCCCCAACCTGAGGAAGGGTCCAAGATTCCAAGCCTGAAGGCCTCATGCTTCCTCCATTTTGGTCAAACCCTCATCTGTGGATTCTGGAAGGGCTTGGGACAGTGCACTGGCCAGAAAGCCATCGCTGGGCTCAGCCCAGAGAGCCCTGAAAACTAATCTTCTCTTGGCACTGGCCCCTCAGCCTCCCTGGCTGAGCCACTTCTGCAGCAAAACAACAGCAGGAGGGCAAGCGTGCTCTCTTCCCTGAGGGCTGCTGGAGAAAGGAAGGTCTGCCAGGAAAGTGCTCTGGAAAGAACTTCTCGGGGCCATTAGACAAGAGGGGTAGGACAGAGGGTGGGGTGAGAGAAAGGATACACTTTAGAGATGCCCAAGGGGGTGTCCTTGGTCAGGCTGTGCAGCAGGAACCTGGAGATGTTGAAAAGGGTTTCAGGAAGATGGAAACTGAACGGCTCCTCCTGCAGCAAGAGAACAGCAAACAGGGGCTGAATTCTTCAACTGAGCTGCTGCTGGTCCAGGCCACAGGGAAGATACCAATAACTTGGAGTTACTCCAACAAAAGAGTGGCTTTGTTTATTGAGCACCTACTGTGTGCTGGGTACCATACAGCCACTGTCTCATGTGGTCTTGTGGCATAGCATTTTTTTTTGAGACAGGGTCTCGCTCTGTCACCCAGGCTAGAGTACAGTGGCATAATCATAGCTCACTGCAACCTCTAACTCCTGGGCTCAAAGGATCCTCCTACCTCAGCTTCTCGAGGAGCTGGGATTACAGGCACATGCCACCACGCCCAGCTTGTGGTATGCATTTTTATCCTCATGGTACTGATGAGGAGATCGACACCCAGAGATGATTTGTCCAAGTTACTGGCTAGAACAGAGCTGGGATTCAAACCCAGATCTGATTCCAAAGCCGAAGAATATCTTCTCCCAAGTTGCACTGCCTCCAGGGTTGGTAATGATCCCATTGCCCTGAGCCCAAGGTGCCTCCAATTAGCTCTAAAAGAGAAGAGCTATTATGCAATTCAGGACCTGAGCACTGATAGAAGCCTGTCTTTAAATGGAGGCATTTGACCGTTTCCAGCATGAAATCACATGCCTGTTCTTTGCTATCCAACAGCAGCCTGACCAGTGCACCACCACACACACATGTGGGGTTCCTCAACTGGTGATCCCTGTTTCCCTGGCACCGGCCCTCACAGGAGGCACTCTGCACATATTAGTGGAATGAACTGGTCTTACCTACAGGCTGCCAGAAGCGCCACACAGCAGACCATAGGGAATTTTCTATTAGGAGGGGATCATAAAAGGTTAAGAATACCCTGTTTTGGGCTGGGTGTGGTGGCTCATGCCTGTAATCCTAGCACTCTGGGAGTCCAAGGCTGGAGGACTTCTTGAGCTCAGGAGTTTGAGACCAGCCTGAGCAAGAGCAAGATCCCATCTCTACTAAAAATAGAAAAATTATCAGGACGTTATGGCACATGCCAGTAGTCCCAGCTACCTGGGAGGCTAAGGCAAGAGGATCACTTGAACCCAGGAGTCTGAGGTTGCTGTGAGCTAGGATGATGCCACAGCACTCTAGCTTGGGTAACACAGTGAGACTCTTGTCTCAAAAAAAAAAAAAAAAAAAAAGAATACCCTGTTTTGAAGGAGTCTGGCACACTGCGTGCCAGCTGAGACTGCTGATATGTAACAAAGCTTTGGATGACAAGGGTTAAAATAGGCCAGCCACACCTCCCCTTGTGAGCACTTAAATGTTACTAAATGGACATTCCCTGAAGGATCCTCTTAGGAGGCCATATCATCACTGAGCCACCAGGGCTTAGCCCCTAACTGGTCTAAATTCTGAGGACTCACTTTGCTCTATACTCCCTTGGTTCAGAGATGACCACTTTCTCTTCAGTTCCTAAATTTCTATAGCCTCTGTTAGCTCCAAGCACCCAAGAAAACCTGAGACCACATCCTTTTCAGGGTGAGAACCAGGATGAAGCCTGCCTCTGGTTCTACTGCACTAGGTGTGGAGGCTGAGAAATGTCCAGAGAGAATAGAAGGAGGGGCGTCCTCAGGATCAGTGCCTCTCCTCTGGGAAAAACACCACCATCCCAGGCAGGATCCAGCCGTTTCCTCTCCAGTCTTCCAGTCTGTTCTGCCAGGCCCTGATGCTGGCCCCCACGCTACCACTCACCTCCAGGCCTTTGGACAGCCTGTGACCTCTGCTAGGAATGCCCTTCCTCCTCTCCTCTTCACTTGCACTTTCTTCCTGGTCTCCCTCCTCTTGGCTTAGGGGCCATCTCCTCCAGGAAGTCTCCTCATAGGACTCTAAGCTTTCCCCTTGAAGGACTATCCTGTTTGCTAGATTGTGAGTTCCTCTGGGTGGGGACGATGTCATGTTCCCCACTGTGTCCCCAGGCCTCATCACACAGCAGGCATTTGTTGAGTGAAGGAATGGGCCAATGAAGAAGACTCAGCTGGTGTAAAGCCCCTCAGCTCCCAGCCCCACACAGGTCCAGGAGCAGAGCTCAGCTGCCAGAGAGAGGAGCCCAGCCCTGTGCCTCCCTGTGTGGGGAGGACAAAGAGCAGGGAGAGAGCTCAGAGGGACAGCACTGAGTACCGGGTTCCAGGCTGGCTTAGGGAAACTGAGGCTGAGGTGGGCCCTGACTTCCAAGCCTAAGTTGAGTCTGGACTCCTTTTGTGGTGGCTCCTTTCCAAGTGAGCACCTGATTAGAGAAGAGGGACTCTGAGAGGGTCTCATCTCAGGTAAAGCAAACTGGCCTGGCAGAGCCCATCAAAAGAGTCTTTCTTGCAAGACTTTCCCAAAAGGCAAAAAATGTGCCAAGATCAGAAGGAAGAAAATTCCCAGGGTGGAAGGAAGGGCGTTTGAGAGGTCAAAGAACAATGAGATACTCAGCCTTCAGGGTGCAGCTGTGGAAAGCTGGTGTAAACCCTCTACTGGGGCAGTAATAAGAATAGCTGACACTTACCCAGGGCCACACTGTGCCGGGCACTCTTCTAAGCACTTTTCCAATATTAACTTATTTAATCCTCACCACAATCCCATCAAATAAGTACTGTTATTATCTCCATTTTATAGAGAAGGAAACAGAAGCACAGGTAAATGACTTGCCCCAAGGTCACATGGTACAGCTGGGGCGTGAAGTCTCCTGAGTTCACCTTTTAAACAACCTACCAGCCCACTTTATCTAAGTGAGAGAGGAGGGCCAGCCTGTTGGGATTCTAGTATTGGCTCTGCTACTTACTAGCTATGAGACCTTTTTGTCAAGCACCTGTCTCCTCATCTGTATAATGGGGATGAACACACTCACAGTATGGTTGAAAGGATGAAATGAGTTGATAAAATAAAGCCCCTAGCACATTGCCTAATATGTAGTCAGTGATCAATTCAGGTTGGCTTTTGATACCTGCCCAGTTTATCAGCCAGCACAAGATAAGCTCACACTGTAGGAGCTTAATCAACATTTGTTGAGTGACTCAGGAGACAAACAGGATGAAGAGGCTGTTGACAACCTGTCAACTGTTCCCCACTGCCACCAGAAAGATTTAAAAAGGCTTCATCAAAGGAATCAGGGAGTGACTAAAAAGGAGAACTATTTGGGTCTCTGGAGACCAAGCCAACCCTCTTGTTTTATAGACAAAGAAACTAAAGGCCAGACAGAGAAAGCAAACTGTTCAGGAACATACAGCATAACTGGGCCTTCACCCTCCTAGAGGAGAAGACCCCATGGAACTCCCACCCACCTTGTCTGGCTAATCCAGAGTTTGCCCAAGTCATCAACACCTGAACCAAGCAACTAGAATTACCCACTCAGCTCTGGACTGTAATTCAGAAACCCATAGCTAGCTGCATGTCAGACAAGTAGCAGATCAAGGAAAACCAAACTTCTTCTCCCCAAAAGAGACTAGGATTCCTCAGCAGTTCATTGCCTAGTGGGTTACCCGCCACCTTACCGTGTACCGCTGAATGGCGTGGTAGCCATGGTACAGCTCAGCCAAGTGCTGGAAGTGGTGGAACTTGCCGAGCATCGCATCCTTCTGGGCAGGATCTGCTATGTGCAGAGGGGAGTGGGGCGAGAGGGATAAAGACATGTCAAACAGTATCTATGGCTGCCGACTGCCACAGGAGGAAGGGTCAGGTGACAGCACTGTTGCCAGTATTGGTTCTTCTGCAACACAGGGCCTATGCCAGGGGGAGGGGCAAAAAGATGCAATGATGGGGAAGGTATTTTTTAGGAGCAGAGGCCAACCCAGGATGGTGAAGTCTCAGCTGGGCAGAGCACATGGCCAGGAAGAGTCTGCGAACATTTCTTCCGGACTCTTCCAGATCTCACACCAGACCCTCCCAAGTCATTCCACTGAGGAAGCACCAGCTTCGAGAAGACACCCAGACATGCCAGAAGCGCCTGGCAGGATGTGAGTGAGCAGACACCCACTTTATTCACATTTACATCATGCCTCTTCCCTTGGTGCTACTCCTTATCAGAAAAACAAACCACTGGCCAGAACAGAAAAATGCCACCTTACACCTGGGCTTGATGGTTTTCAAACTAGAAGCATGGCTCCATGAGGCATGCTCCCAGCAATGTTATGAAGGAAACAGGGACAGGGGCACCCCCATGGTACAGATGGGCATGCGGAACCCAGGAAGGACTGACTGTGACTTGCTACAAGTCACCTTGCAGTCTCCATTCCAGTGTTTTCCCCACTCCTGCATCGGCCTGGTTCAGTGGAGAACATCTCCCTGTCCCTTCTGCTTCCAGAACTCTGTCAGTACATCATGTGAAGTCTTGTGAAAAAAAGCAACATTGGGCCAGGTGTGGTGGCTCAAACCTGTAATCCTAGCACTCTGGGAGGCTGAGGTGGGAGGATCACTTGAGCTCAGGAGTTCGAGACCAGCCTGAAGCAAGAACAAGACCCCATCTCTACTAAGAATAGAAAAATTAGCCAGGCATGGTGGCACATGCCTGTAATCCCAGCTACTTGGGAGGTTAAGGCAGGAGGATCTCTTGAGCCCAGGAGTTTGAGGTTACTGTGAGCGAGGCTGACCCCATGACACTTTAGCCCAAGTGACAGAGCCAGATGCTGTCTCAAAAAGGAAAAAGAAAAGCAACACTGAAACCATTTTTCTGCCTGGGATGACTGAGAATCTGGAGCATGTTATTGTAAAGCCATTTCTTGCTCATCTTTTCATTTAATTAAATTTTTTTAAACCAGTGCTCATCCAGGCCCAACTATGGGCTCCCAGGTAGCAGGGAGAGATATGTTCTGAATTAGCAACGCAGGCTGGACCTCCCAACCGTAACCCAGGATTGCCCTCATACCATTCTTATACTTATGGGCAAACTGGAAAAAGATGACATACCAGATTATGCCATCACAAGACAGGCTATGGACAATACACCCAATAAACAAGCCAAGGGCTTTAATTAAAATGTCCCAGCTCTTTTGATGTTTATCTTGGTGCCACAGCGGAGCAGGGGGCGGGGGAACAGTGGCCTGGCTGATGTTTACTTACCTTGAGCTATATCAAGGCACTGCATAGACAGCATCCAGTAATAATAGGCGGCGTCATTAAACCTGCTCTCCACCACAGCATTGTGTGTGAGCTGCTCCAGCACCCTGACTGCTTCTCCCTGCCGCCCGGCCTTGTGGAATGCTGGGGGGTGGGGGATACAAAAGCACATGCAATTCAGGGAGGGAGACAGGAGACAGGATAGAATTCTGCAGGGCTTGTAAGAGACTGCTTTGGAAGTAGGACACTCATCTGCAGCACTTCGTTGCTGAGATGCCGCCTCTCAGGCCGAAGGCTATAAATAACCAAGGCTACATCCTGAGAAAAGTACAGTGAGATATACCCCTTTTTGGCTGGGAAAGACAACCAACTTTAGGAAGGCATGGCACAAAGAAACACCTAAGTGGCCAAAATCCAGGGCAAAGTCTAAGGATGAAACTTGCTCATCTTCAGTGAGGTTTTGCCCCCTGCTCCATTCCAGGGCAAAGCTTTGTGACTCCTGAGGTGACACTAAAAAGACTTGACACTTTACCAGGCTTGGAGGTTTACAAAGTGCTTTTTTGCCAATTACCTCACTGGATCCTCACAACAGACTTATGAAGAAGGGAAAATTATTTCCTTCTTAAATGAGCAATGAAATAGGCTTTTGCAAGGTAAAGTGCCACACCAAGGTCACAGAACCGAGCCCAACTCAACTGAGTGCTTTCTGATGACAACCTTGAAAGATCTGGCTTGCTTCTCAAAACCAAACATTTGTGAAAACAAGTAAAAGAAATTTCTCAATCATTCCTACATCCATTTAACAGAAATTTTCTGAGTACCTACTACCTGGCCAGCCCCTCAGGATGTTGGGGCTGCCAGTGAAGCACTCGTAGCTGTGACATTTGCCCACACATGGGCATTCAGATTATCCAAATCCTCTGCCTTTAGCAAAGGAAAAGGTCTGGCCTTTGTTCCATTCTCATCTCCAATCTCTTGTCTGAGTACCAAGTTACTATGGCAATGGATTCTTGGAAGGGCAGACACAGACAGATGGATAGGTTGATGTGTTTTGCCCAAACATGCAGATACTTCAGCAACTGGGTACTCTGGAAATGTTGAAGCAGTAGAGAACACACTGTCCTTCAATGGGGATTTTTAGCTGAGAAGCTCCAACAGGGAGACATTTGTTCTGCAATGTGTCCGCTGGTAGCAACTGTTACCATATAGATGTGTAAATGAGATGCTATGGAGTATGACACACCCAACTTCAATTAGAAGACTTCCTAAATAGGCAGTAAAACATAGAAGACTCAGGTTCCCCAGTCAGACAGATCCTGATCTGGTTCTGGCTCTGCTGCTTGCTAATCTGTGCCTTTGCACGGCACATTTAGCCTCTTTGTCTCTGCAGGGCTATTGGCAAGATTCAAGGTTATGTAGGTTAAGTGCCCAGCCAGTGCCTGACACAGGGCAGTCAATTTTTTAAACTGTGATTAACATTATCAGTTAAAGCTTCATACTTGCTCTGGCTCCTATTTCAGATGCTGTCAGACCTCCTGTGCAGCCATTTTACCAATGGAAATGCTGAGGAGTAGAGGTCAACTCATTTATCTGAGCCAGAAACAGAAACTGAGTTTCTATTCTCAGCAGAGGCAAGTGGAGGCAAGGCTATGGCACACTTTTTGGCAGTCTCTACTTTTTGTCCTCACTGTACCCTGGCTCCAATTACCTTTCTGCCACTTCCTAGCTATGGGACTTCAGGAAATCTCTTTACCTGTTTAACCCTCAGTTTTCTCATCTGCGAAATGAGAATAACAATAACGGTACCTATGCCACTGGACTGTTGTGAGGATTAAATCAGAAGATTCACTGGAGTGCACAGCACTTTGCTCAGTAAGCAGAGGCTCACAGAGCAGACAGCACCTCTTAAGGTCCTGTAGCAAGGGAGTGATGGCCCCGGTGTGTGTAACTCCAACGCCCATGTGTGTTTCACTGGTCCATAGGTCCACCAACACATCACATCCCCAGGATGAAGTCACCTATCTTGGGACCTACAGATGGGAGGGGGCCTGGCAACCTTCCTAAAATGTGTGTCTTGGCAGTGCCTTGCCCTGCCCCTTCTGCAAGATGCCAGTCTATGTGGCCTACCTTTCTGGGCTTCCTCAAAACGATCATTCTCTGCTAGCCACTGAGCGTAAGGCACGTAGATGTCAACCTTCAACTCGGATGCTTCTCACCCCAAAGCAAAGCCTGGAGGAAGGAGCAAACAGTCTTAATAAAGCAGTACCTGCAGCCCCCATGAAAACATGGCACTTGGCTGAATTCATTAGGGATGTCATATTTTGCCACCTGACAACTCAGAGGGGGAGAGCGCCTCCCCCTCAACTACCCCAGAAATGGCAAAAACAAATCAGCTCTTTGAAAACAAAAGGCAATTAACAGCAATATGCAAGCGACTGGATTCAATAACAACACAGTCTGTTTCTGGACCACAGAAGCGGCACAGAATCGGAAACATTTTATTTTGAGGGTTTGCGTGGGCTCCTGTAGCAGTGCTGCAAACAGATTTCTTTTAATTGCAGCCGACACCTAAGGAAATAGAATTGACATTATCATCATCACTGCTTATTAGCTGTCAAAGATGACTGTGGGCTTGGTGCTATATTGGGCCCAGTGACTATTTCACCCAAGCCCATCCAAACCACCTGTCAGGCCAGGAGAACCAGAAACAAGCCACAGGAAGAAAGTCTGCCTGATGCACAGGTTCTAAGATGCTCTAATTTATGCTGCTTGAGAAATCTCCTGAAAAATTTATCTTGAGAAGCCATTATTGCCTCTGTCCTGGCCCCACTTTTCTCATCAGTGACCTTGTCACTCACCAAATGGAGTTACCCAGAGGAAAGACAAGAGTCAGATAGCTCGTACCCAGAAAAGCGCTTGCTATCACTCTGCAAATAGACCACAATGGGGTGGGTGGGCAGGGTGAGGATCATGCAAGGCCCCTAATCTAATCCACAGGGAATGGATTCCGGGAGCCTGAAGGGTGGAGCTGAGCTGAAGAAGGGCCTCAGGCTGGCTGTGGCTATCCACAGGCCTGGCTGGTTCTTCTCACCTGCTCACACTAGAGAAGACCCAGGTTGGGGTGGGGCCAAAAATAGGAGGGGAAGAGCTGCGGTCCTGAAATGGCTCTAACAGTCTGTTCTGAGAAGTATGAATAGCACTTTTCTGCCAAAAGCTCCCAGCAGGTTTTAAATGTCACACAGGTGCATCTTCACATTAAGCGACGTGTCTGAGCCCGCAGTGCTGGTCAGAGCCAGCTCAGACCAACAGCAGGCACTGAAGCTGTCATGTTAACACTCACATCCCTGGTATTTATTATGGGACTGGCACAGAGCTGCCAATCAATAAAGATTTTCTGAATGAATGAATGAATAAACAAATGGAAAGCTAGGATGGAAAGGCCATCCAAGATACTCTGGTTCAGAGAATTGAAAGTTAAGTCTCCTGACTTCCAATGTTCATTCCATGATGAGGGCAGCTCCTCCCCATGCAAACACCAAAAGTCCCCTCTACTCACCTGCCTGTTTCTCATGGCTCAGGTGGAGCCCCAAACCCATGAAGCGTGTTTTCCTCTCACCTCATCCCAGCGCTGAGTCTCCACATGCAGCTGCACCAAGGACTGCAGGTCTCCGATCTTCAGGTAGGTCTCCGCAGCATAGCCAGAGTTATCTAGCTTCTTGAAGTAGTCAGCACACAGCAGCAGAGGCTCACGCTCAGCCTTGTCCAGCCTACGGGCAATGTCAATCAACCTGGAGGGGTAGGAAGGGCAGGGAGGAAAGAGACCACTGTGAATGGGCCTGATGGAAGGAAGTGGTGGGGGGACTTTGGATCTTCCAAGGGCAGGCTCTATGTCCATTCATTCCACTGTCCCCAATGCTAATAAAGTACCACGGCCCCTGGAAGATGTTCAATGGGTGGTTATTAAATGAGCGAATACATACTCCAGGAACATTGCCAGGGACCACGAGAGGAAGGCTCTAAAAGATGCTGTTGCCACCTTATATCTTTCACAGGAGTTACTAATCTATCCACAGCAGGATCTGGGGACAAATGTTCACTTATCCCTGCCAGGTACCAAGATGGCGCCATGAGCTTTCTCATGTGAGATCTCACTGAAACTTCACTACCTTGAGGTGGGTACTATTATTTCCATTTACAGATGAGAAGACTGAAGTCTAGGGGGTAAGGTGAAACACCCAGCCCAAGACTCCACAGCCAGGAAGTGGTAAAGTGCTCTTTCCACCACAGTAATTCTCACATGAAAGCAGAGGCCAAGGTGTGAGAATTCTTCAATGAATGGCCCTCCAGAGAAAGAGGCATGCGCGGGGCTTGCTCTGAGCTCTGGAAGAAAGGCCTGTGTCCTCCTCCTGGCCAAGGTGCTGACCGCAGTGAGGAGCCTCAGGGACTAGCTGGCTCACCACTAAGTTCTCAGTGGTGACCAGCCTTCCACTGCTCATGGGGACATGAGGGCTGGGTGGAATGTGCTTGTTCCCTCTAGTCAGGCTGGGGTTTGGAGTAAAATCAACTCTCCCAGGAGAAGGGATTCTACCCAGCCTGCTCTTTGTGAGAAAGGAAAGGGAAGCAGCTGTAGCAGATCCCTGCCTTAGAGACAGAGCAGCACAGGGAGGCCTGTCATTCTGCAGTTAGAATAATAATAGCAACTAAAAATAATACTGCTCAGCAGAGAAGGACATATTTTTAGGGAAAGGTGGCACAGGCAGCCCCTTGGAACCTTAAAACCCCCTACCCCTCAAACCAAATGTTCCTGGAGGAAAGGCACCTTTAACAGCCAGACCTGGAAAAGGGATGGATCATGCTAATGTCTCTTTTTTGAAGTAGTTAAGTATCCCTAGGGTAACCTGATACATAGCACTTGCAAATGAAAGTGACATATAAAAAACCTGAGGAGAGAATGGAGAGGCCCTAAATCTGCCTGGCTCTCTTTTGTATCACCTCCTTTGTGAAAAGAATAATTTTGGGGGCAAAATCTATGCCTCTGTCTTTAAAAAACTTTATTCTTGGACAAAAGAAAGATGGAGTGATAGGTCACCCATCTTGTGAAGGGCCCACACACAAACCACATGGTGGAGTTCAAGGGGGCAACCTGATCAACCAGCCCCTTCTCATCCCCAGGGCCTGGCTGGGTGCCACTGCTACCTGTGGACCACAATGTTGCTTCCAGAACAACCCACAGCATTTAGGGCACAGACTGAGCCAACTTCAGGAGTCCCTCCTCTCCTCTCTTCCTTTGCCAGCTGTGGCAGCACACACACACACACATGCATGTGTGTGAGCATGAAGTGCACTGTTTCTGACTGTGGGAGGACAAAGCTCTCCTGGGGAGGTCTGCTACACTGAGTCCCAAGACCAAATCCCTCGTGCCTCCATGCAGCCCCACCCCTAGCCCGTTCCTCTCCCTCTATTCTGGACTTTAGCGGAACAAGTCCTCCCTATGGAGGATTTGGACTTTGAACTTAGCGTAGCAGACCTCCCCAGGAGCACTTTGTCCTCCCTCAGTCAGAGATAGTGCGTTCATGCTCACACATACATACGAATGCACAAATCTGAACACTTCAGTTTAGATCTGAGGCCTTCCCGGTGTGGCCAGCCCAGTTCCCCTTGCCTGCAGCCCCCCCGTACCCTCCCCTTCCCACACACCTTTTGATTCCAACCAGAGCCAGCTGACCCTGTTTGCGCTGTTCCTCCTGCCTGAACATCCTTTCCCTTTCTACTGATCGTCTCTGCCTCTTGAAACGCTTCAGGTCTCCTTCATGCAAAGACTACCTCCTAACAGAAGACATCCATGGTTCCTCCCACAGGAATTCTCCTTTCCTCATGTACTTGGAACTTTTCTTGTTCTTTTTTGGTACCTACCATTATACTATTATGGGCATTAAAATCACCCAGATCAGAGCCTGAAGCTCAGCTCCAAGACTTCCTGGCTGTTTGGACTTCTGTGATAACATGTCCCTTGACCCTCAGTTTCCTCATTGGCAAGAAGGGCCTGGAAAAACTAACTCTGAGGGTGTGGGGAAAGAACCAAATGCCTGCAAAGTTATCGCAGCACCTGGGTTGTGGTGAGCACTCAGCAAATGGCAGCTCTGACTTGGGGTGTCTGCCCCTCCTCAGCACTCACCACCCTTTCTCCCAGGGACTTGATAAGCTCCACAAAGACAGCGACTGCCTTCTTCAATCTCTGTGCTCCCAAAGAACCTAGTTACCATCACATTTGGTTAGATATTTAGAGAAACACGATTTTTTCCCTTGTTAGTCAAAATCAAGAGTTGACATGACATGACATGCTGCCAAATGCTCCCTGGGGCAGGGACTGAAACCTACATGTCAACCCAGCCATGGTCGCCACTGATCTGGATGGCCTTGACATGCTCTCCTGCTGAGATGTACATCTCCACAGCAGCTTTGGGCTCATTGATATTTCTGGCCCAGTCAGCCTGTTTGGTGATTAGCATCTTTGTCTCTTTGGGGTCTCCAGATCCAAGGAAATCCTGAGGAAGCACAACAAACAAAAACACTCTGGATTAGAACTTCCTGTGCCAGCATTACGTCAGGCTGCTGAGAGCCAGAGCAAGGAAGTGCTCCATTTGGCTGAAGCAGGCAATCAGGATGCAGGCAGGAGCCCATCCCTGCAAGGCTGAGTGGGGGGCAGTCCCAGGTGTCCAGCAGGAGTAATTATGGACTGCCCTACAGGTGCTCTTGGGGGATACTGGGACAGTATCAAAGACTACAGCTCTCAATGTTTTGTTCCCTTCTCTTCAGCTAAACACTTTCCAGACACTTTGGAACTCTGCACTGTAGAGGGTTTATGACTGGGTTACTTTGTATGTATGTCTCACTGATACAGCTTCATATATAAGCTACTATTCCTAAATAGTGACTAGACAACTGGTTGCACAATTTCAAATACCATACCTATGACCTTTATTCGGATAGTATGGATGATACCACATGCCTCAGAGTGGAGATGAACACGTGATCCCCGAAACTCACACAAACAAAATGATTTAAAGATTTCTCAGTTAGGCCTTTTGTGCCGTTCCTCAACCACCACCACAATGGAAGAGTCGTATCTGTTTTCTGAAATGTTTTGTTGCCTGAATTTAGAGAATCATTTCACTAGCTTAGCCCCAGGTATTTGCCTAGGACAGATAACAAGCAAAACTCTCCTTGGTTAATTAATTCTCAACTGAATGGTAAGGGGTCCTGTTTTGAGGTCAGGTCTGCAGGGTGGACCTGATCCAGCAGTGTACAGCAGGAGGCCATGGGGGGAGCTGAGGCAGGGGAAGGGGTCCAGGAGAGAACCCGTGAAGGAAGAGATGCCTGTCATCCCAGAGGCTCAGGGGTCAGGCTACAGAGCCTGTGTTCCTTCCACCACCACAGGGAGCCTCTGCAAGGCCAAGCTTTCCTGGGTTGGCCCTACAATGTGTGGGAAACAAGCTCAGAAAATCACCTCTTTTCAGGATAAAGTAGTCCAAAATCTATATGTGAGAGTTTGCCATAGTTGAGGCAGCACTGGTGCTGACATTTTAAAAAGTAGAGATTTCAGAAAGGGAAATGGAGAGTGCTTACAGCCCAGATCTGCATTACGAGTAAGAAGCAGTTTGTCTTAGGAATAATGTACCCTGCAGAGAGTGCTCTGTGTCAACCTCACAAAGTATAAAAAAAGCACTCTTTTCCCCATGATTAACACTCATTTGTCAGGAAAGTACAGTCAACATATGCTAAAAACCCACTTGAACAATTAGCTCACTTTTTTTTCCATTTGCTTTCAGGGTAATTGTGTAGCTCCTAAAATCATATATTAGGTCGGGCTAAGCCAGCCAAATGTTTTAAGGAGAAGAAGGGATGTTGTTTACCCTGAAGCTAGGGTCCCAGTAAAACACAGGTGTGCCTCAGCCAGCCTTTGGTTCCCTCTGGAGTTTGCAAAGGGGAAGGGGCTTAGATTGCAGCCACTGCTATGCCTAGTTCGGGCCTTTGCAGACACACCCTCTACCTTTGGCAGCTACTACAGGCACTCTTCATGCCAACACAAAGCTGGAAACTGCCTACCTGGTTGGTTAAACGAGGTTAGCAGCTGGGGGAAACAAGCATCATAAGAGAACAGAAATAGCCTTCAAAAGGACTTCCGTGAGTGCCCGGTGGACTAGGGATGACTGTAGTAAGAAGGATCAGAGGCTAAGAAGGAGCCATAAATTTGGGTCCTTGCCCCAGTGAGACCATCCAGGCACACAGGTTACAGGCTTGAAGGAGCCTCCTTCAGCCCAGCAGTCCAGCTCAGGGAGCTCTGACTTAATTGAAGCTGAGTCTAAATGGTTCCTTCAAGGCTCAACAAACTGGGTTTTCAAAGGCTTTCTGGATCCATGAAGCTAATTTACACGTTATCTGGGGGCTATGGCAAAGACTATGTCCTGAAGTGGACAGAAAGAGGCTGTGCTGAGTGATGAATGAGACTAAACAGTGTTCTTATGCTTGGTGATTTTGATAAGGACATACTACATAAGAGTTAAGAGCATTATAATTCCCTTTATCACCATATAAACATGTCACTTATCCAGAAAGCATACAATTTATTTGTATGTGGGAATGTAATTTAAAATTTTTCTGAAAACCAGATTGAATCTTGGGAAGCAATTTTCAAGTAAACAAAAACATGCCATGTTAATAAGCACTGGATCTCCCCACCCCCCAACATAATGTGTATGTACACATTTTCTCAAATTCAGACTACCAGGTGGGGGATGGGAGGGGAGATTGAAACGGAACCAACCTACTTGGAATTGTGATCAAAAACTAAAACCAAAAACAAGTCCCAGAGTATTTACCTTCATAGAGAGACAGACCAGATGGAGTGTGTAAATGGGCTGCATTTCTGGGTGGGAGACTGTGGGTGCATGAAGCCCACCCAAAGTGTTAGGAGGGGCCTCAGAGCAGAGGCAGGAGTGGGGCCAGCCAGGGAGAAGTCTCAAGAACATCCACTCCATGGTCATGCTTGGCCTCTCTCATTTTCCTAATCTTTCTATAGCTTGGCATTTGTAAAGGGTTTTCCCATAAATTATTCTGTGCAATTCTCATAACTAAACTGAACTGAACTAAACTGTCACCCGCTGAGGAGGAAAGGAGGCTTAGCAAAGTGAAAAGCCTTTCCCCAGGTCATCAGTCCCACAGGAGGGACAGAGATTCATACTAGCTCTCTGCGTGCCAAGGCAAGGCATTTTCTAGTGCACCACAGTGCCTACTTGGGGAGGCTTCAGGGGTTCTGGGAAATGCCACTGGTTGCAAAGAACAACCAGATCCAGCTGTTCCTGATGCCTAAATTCTACCTAGGGTTTTGATCCTTCAGTTAAAGGTTTTGTCCCCAGTTAAAATTTTATCCCCAGAAAGAGAGATGTGCTAATTTAGGTGTTCTCACTACGAATGTATTATGAAATCTTGTACATGTTTGTGGTGAGAGTATGGTGGAGGGTAAGGAAGACAAAGAAAAAAATGTAGAACCTGAGGTGCCCTAGATCTGAGGTGTGGTGTGAAGGAGTACCAAGGTAGAAAGACAGGCTGGGGCCCAGGGGCTTGTGCAGGTGCTGATGAACAATAATTCCTGGGCCCCATCACAGGGAGCCACATACAACCTGCAGCCCTAGGATCTAACAGATGGTAGAGGATCACAGCCATCTTTGGGAACAGAAGAGAAGAAAAAAATGGGGAGGATTTTCCATCTTGAACTTGAGAGCTAGGTAATTACCATTAATAGCCACTAATTGGTTGTGGCTGATGACTCACTTAATAACATTCTGAGAGCCTCTTCTGACACTACTGGGAAAGGCAGGTTAACAAAGGCACCTCTGTGGAAGGAAGAACATCCTTGCTCGATGCACCCAAGGCTCTTTTAACCTTGCATTAGGCCGAACTGCAAATGTCTTGACTGGTCTGGGCTACTCAGTGTACCTCATTCTCACACAAGCCATCATCAGGAACCTAGTCCAGGAAGCTCTTCTTCCACATGTACCTTTAAAGGCCCAGATATTTTGGGGACTAACCTTAATGGGGACCCTGCAAATACAAGAGGGAATCTACACCATCACCCACTGAGACCATGTGGGAGCTCTCCTGCACCTGCAGGGGTGGTGTGAGGCACACTGCGCTAACACTTGCTAGAGTGAACCCATCATGTGGTTGGTAAGGACCAGCTTGTGCCTGAGGGATACCGATTCTTTGTGGCCTGACAAGGTTTGAGAGAATTTGTGGGAGACAGCCCTGAAGCCCTGAGCCCTCAACACTTAATAAAGGGATAGACTGGTAAAGACTCATAGCCCATGTAGCTCTGTTGCTGACAAAGGTATGAACTGTCATATTGTGTCCCTTTGGTATCATCCTTAAAGGTCATTTTTGGGTCAGATTCAACCAGTGGCAGTAGACAGATCCTCTGTTTACCAATTTGCTCACACTCTTTCTGAAGTCATTGCTATTTTTCACCTGCACCATCTCCTGGGGCAAACAACTTGGACACTGCAGGTCAGTGGACCCCAAATGACAGTTTGGGCCTGGGATATGGGTAGTTTACCTTGGCATACTCAAACATGCAGAGGTCAGTGTACATGTCGAGTGCGAGGTTCTCATGCCCACTCCTCTTGTACAGTTTGGCAGCCTCATGGAACTTCCCCTGGTAGGAAAACACATCTGCCAGAAACAGGTCATTGTTGGTTTCTCCCCGCTTCTTCCTCTCCTGGAAAAATTAGAAGCACAGGAAATGGCCTCTGCAGGCATGGGCAGGAAGCAGCCTTTACAAAGGTTCAGTGTTGCTATTTCAAGTTAAGCCCATGGGCCTTCCTATTGGAACCTACGTTTGGCTCCTGAGCTGTTATGTCTCTCACCTAGGTTTCTGGTGGGAATGCTTGACAACAAAAGCAGATTTTTTTTCCAGACAAGTGAAGATCAAAAAAAGATGCAAACCTTTGTTTGTTTAATGGAAATTCCTCAGGGCTGCTTTCCTGTATATTCTTCCAAGGTTACAACTGGATAGTTTGGATTGTGTGTGCTTCTAACTCATTGGTGACCCCTAAGGTCTCAAGACCTCCCAAATCTGCAGGCTTGGTTTGACAGAGTTGTGACCATGATGATGACAGACAAGGAGAAAGTTTAGGGTTTCTGCCCAAGATGGAAACCAATTAAATAGGATAACAAGTCTTTCTAAGTTCCTATTTCGTCCTTCTTTTCTTCTTTTTTTTTTTTAAAGATAGGGTTTTGCTATGTTGCCTAGGCTGGTAGCAAACTCTTGGGCTCAAACGATCATCCCGCCTCAGCCTCCTGAGTAGCTTGCATCGTGAGCCTGGCTTGTTCCTGTTTCTAAAGAGAAGGTAAGAAATACCATATACTGAACATCTACTAGGTGCTAGATATATATTTTGCATAAAAGTATGGACTCTATTCCTTTCAGTGACCCTCAGCATTGGTATTACCACCCAATACCATTGGTAATACCTTCCTCTCAGCAAAGGAAGCTGAGATTCAAGAAGAGGGACAGGTTAAGGACAGATGAAGCTGGCATTTTGACTCAGTCTGTCTGACTCCATATGCTCTTTGTATCACACAATACTACCTTCTGAAGCAAGCAATGGTCTCAAACAACACACACACACACACACACACACACACACAGAGGCTTAATAGTGTGGAGAATAAAGAGAAGTACCACGCATGCTCCTTCCTCCAGTGTTAGGGAACATTCATTAGTCTGCAGCTCAAGTATTTGCAAACACTCACTAGCACCAATCCCTCAGCCCCAGCAGTTTCCTTTTGCTTGTTTTCCAGCAAGTGTACCACAGTGGAAGATGAGACATTGAATCAAACTCCCAGACAAGCTGGTGAAAGTTTTAACAGCTGGAGGCAACATGCTTCCCCACTGACAGAAATAATTTTTTTAAAAACCTATACATAGTTCAGGCAATCAAACAAATAAACTTTAACTCCTAATAGAAACGAATTAAAATCTTGCAGTGAGATAAAAAAAAAAATAGGTTTTCCTAGAGCATGAAATTTAGGCCATATCCATTCTAGACCACATAGTATCACCATGATCAATAAAAATGACCTATGTGCGTTCAGTAGGTACATATCAATATTTTCCTCTTGTTACCAGAACAGAAACATCTCACCCATCCAAAAGTAATTACTGAGGAATCTCTGTTTTCTGGAATAATGCTGAACACCTAGAAGCATGCAACTAAGGCCTCAAAGTGGTCACTCAAAGGCACTTTTTTACTTTTTTACTTTTACTTTTTTCAAAAGATAATCTTACAAGTTTACTGTTTTAAACAATTTCCCAGCTTATATAGAAGAGACATACATTGTGAACTTGGTAAGACATAACAAAAGCAAGCATTGGTACTCACAGATACCAGTTACTTTTGTACACAGAAAAATTATGTTCCATGGCTTCAGATTAAGACCACTAGATCCAGGATAGTTGATTTAAAAATGCCAGCCCTGATAGTAAGCAGCACTGGGCATTATAGATAGATGCCTTAACATGTAGGTAACAGAAAATATAGATGCTCCTTATAATGTGCTGAGGAAGGTAGTGGGCGGGGAGCAGGTATGTGGCCTAGAGAGCACGAGCTTAGGAAACAGACAGACTGGGTCTGAATCCCAATTGAGCTTTTGGCTGTGGCCCCTTGGGCATGTCACACAGCCTCTCTGAGCCTTAGTTTCCTCCTCCATCAAATAGGATAATAACAATGCCTGACTCATTAAGTTCTTGTGAGGCTTTGGAACAGAGTACCATCATCGATCGTGCATGAGGCACAGAGCAGACTCCACACATGGCAACTATTGTGAGGTTTAGCAGGCTGTGAGCTCCTGCAGACCTCTCTTCTACTCAGCTCTCTGCCCACTGGGAACAGCACACGGGTTGGCCCACAAAAGGTGTTTATTATGTTGAACTGAATTAGAGGGACAAGACATTTGTTGATTTCCTCACTGCTCTCATCTGGGAATTCAAATGTATCTCACATTCCCATAGCCTCACAATAAATCTGTTCAGGAGAAAAATATGTATGCCTTTTTACAGATGAGTCAGACAGCACTGAGATACACAGAAATTAAGAACAGTGTCTACCAGCACCCAGTGCATGGTACACCTAGAACCAGCTCCTCCAGCCCGCCCAGGCCTGTGTGGATGTGGCTGACAAGGCCAGTGTTCTCAGCCGGGAACAGCAGGACTGGGGGTGCTCCAGAGCTCTGGGGCACTCTGTGCAGCCTGCAGACCTCTCTCCCAGGTCCATTTCTGGGGGTGGCACACAGGTCATGTGCACTTGGGAAACACCTCCTACACTGCCAGATTATTGGAGTCTGAGAGCATGGTAAGCAGCTAACCACCACCACAAAGATGCTCCAGTCACTGAGAACCTATTTAATCTTCACAGCAATCCTACAAGGTAGGTCTGATCCCATTTCACAGACAAGAAACCAAAGCTCAGAGAGATTAAGAACCCATCTGCCTCACCCAGCTACCAAACAACAGACTGCACTCCCTGCTCTAGGGCACTTCTTCCCCTACGTGGCCACTCTGCCCCTCAGTACAAGGCTGTGGCCCAGATGCCCAGCCACCAGTGGGCTTGATCACATGTCCTCAGGGCTCTTGCCTGCTAGAAAGGCTCCCTATCAATGACTGATACCAAGTTGGTGCTTTCTTGAGAAGGGAAGAATAATTCATCTTTTACCTCAATGCTGGTGATGAGCTCTAAATATCGGAGGTCTTGCACTCTTGTGAAGGCCTGCAGGGAAAGAAATAAAGAATAAAATCAGCTGCCTTCTTGGCTTCAAAAGTCAATGATCAGCTGGGAGTGGGAAGTCAAGCTCTAGAAAGTAAGCTGGTAAGGAGAGAATAAAAAGCAAGCATTAATCATCTTGTGTTTGGGAGGGTTCTACCACCCAGTGAGGCATGGCTTTATCCATAGGATCAGACCATACAAAGAACAGCAAAGAAGCCCTGGTTGCATCAATCATTTGGGGATTAGGTAAAACAAAACTATGATACTACAATGTGTGATGGTGTCTCCTTGGGAGACTATCCACAGAAAAATGAGCTGGTCTGCCACTCTGAGGCAGCGACATCAGAGCAGGAGTGTATAAGATGTACTGGCTGGTAAGAAACTGCATACACATCTTGGTGACTTAGATGGAAAGCAAGAGATAGATATGCTTACCCAAAGGTGCCATAAACACAGGGCACCCAGAGCCCATGGTCCCAGCAGAGGGAAAGGAGGAGGGGAAAGCTGAGAAGGAATAAAAATGGTTTCTGGAAGGAGAGGGGAAGTGGGGGATGAATCACTCCAAGTCCCTGGAAGGCAAACTCTTGGACTCACAGTAAAGCCAAGGTTAACTCATGAATGGCTAGAAGTTTCTGAGGAATAGGCAGACTGATGTTAGCTAAACTTCATTTGCTGCTTTCAGATTCTGTAGGGGTTTAGAAGAATACAACCTACCACATCAGGCTGATCTTCATTTTGCTGTCAACATTTCTACTTAGCCAGTGCTTCTTTACACTGTCCCATTGGAAACGGGCTGACATGCTTCTAGAGGAGGCATCAGCTCCACAAGCCCTTGGAATTTAAAATACAGAGAAACTTTGGCCACTTGCAGCCTCTACTTAGCTGCATGACATGGTCTCTCCTAAAAAGACTTGGGGAAATGAGCAAGCCATCCGGCCTCTGGCTGCCTCACAGATGACCACAATCTGACTTCATCTTTTCGTTCCTCAAGGCCAAACATCCTGTCAAAGACTGGGGACCCAGAGATGAATAAGACTTGGCCCCTATCCCCCTCCTCAATTCAGAGACTCACATTCTAAAAAGGGAACCAGGAAGATTAAATATGTCATTAAATCTCCCTGAGCTAAGAACTATACAAGTACAAACCAGATACCCTTGAGAACATAGATTAGCATCTAAGCACAGGTAGTGACAGAAGGCAGGGTTAAATAAGGCATCACAGAGTAGGAACCTGGCAAATGGGTTTTTATGGAAAGGAATTTGTAGAAAAGAACAAGGTAGGCATCACATGTGCAAAGGTACAAAGGACTAAGAGTACTTGTGTTTCCATGCTGAAGGTCTTATACATCACCTTCTAGATATGGGTTTCCTTAAAGCACTAAGAGAGGGGAAATCTGAAATGCCCAGCAAAGTGGCAGTGAGGGAAAGAAGAAGCGTTCTAGGCCTTAGTCCTAGCTCTGAGGCTTTCCACTGGGGGGACCCTGAACCTACTTCTTCCCTGCTTCCAGGATCCAGCCATTTTTTTTGTGGAAAGGGGCAAGCTAGTGACACGCTTTCCAAGGGTCTTTCTAGTTCTGCTGTGCTGGATTCTAGGATTTGCCCAGTGAAAAATCTGTTTCTGAGTTCCTTCAGCCTGCCACATTCTGCAGAGTTAGGGTGCCTGGTCAGAGTGGTCAGAGTGATAGGGCCCGTGAATAACCTCAGCAAAGGGAAATATGGGAACAGGGAAGCATCTGCAGCTCTGCTCAGGACAGTGGTCTGTGGGCTAGGCAGCTCTCCTCTGCCATCTAGTGGGAACGCTGCTTATTGCTAGGAACCACCCACAAGCACGTGGGCCTGAGTGGAACAGCACAGAAAGAAAGGGATTTGAGATTTGCAAAGAATAGCCAAGTTCTAGTCTACGGTCAAAATCTTGTGGCTTTTTCAAAACATCATGTAGTACATGTACAAATAAACACAGTATACAATTATTTTCCTATTAAAATAAATACCTAAAAAAATCTTGTAGCTTTAATACAATCATTTCTATTCTCAGGGAGTGTTTGGGGGATACAGAACAGGGAGTTAAATAAATGGAGAGTAATTCCAGTTTAGTTTTTGGCCATTCAAACATTTGCTGAGCACTGAACCTGTCTAAGGCACTGTGCTGGGCAATCTAGGGTGATATTAAGACCAGGTACGTTTAGTTCCTGGGTATAAGGAGGTGACAATCTAGACTAGAGTGAAGACTTTTAATTTCACTCCATGCTACAAACAGACAAAACATACTCTAGGAGTCCTTTGTTATTCTTCATCCCTGCTGGCATTCCTGGGTGGAGCAGGAGAGAGAAGCTCCCTCCAGGGAGATGCTTCTTCCCTCCTGAATTCTGAAAGCCCTCCTCTATTGCCACTTTCCTACACTTAGTAGACCTAAAGATATAATACAGATAATTATCATATAACAAAAATGTTCCTTGTTTTAATAATGGCTAGCAATTGTATAGCCACTCCAAGTTTTAAATTCTCCCTTACCATGTCTCAGGTAAGCTTACTGACCCTGTGGGAGTGTTTTCACCATCCCATTTTAGAAATGGGAGGACTGGGACTGGGAGAGAAGTGGCTTGCCTGAGGTCACAGAGCCCCTTACATGGCACAGCTGGCTCTCAATCAGGCTTCTGAATCCTAGTGTGGTCCAATCTACCTCTTTTCATGCCTACAAGCCTTGACTTAGCATGAGGCTGGTATCACAAACCTCTTTGAAACTCCTTCAGTTCAGCCCAGTAGTATGGACAAAATCAGAATCTTATTAATTGACTGGGAAAGCAAAGAGGCAAAGGAGGGGAGAAGGGGCTGGAAACCATTTGTTCATCCACCTCAGTCAGGTTCTAGATAGAAATGCAACTCAGAAATATACCTGGGCTACTTCTAATGTGAGGAAAGGGGTCAAATGGTTTCAGCCATTTCTCTAGCTTTAACAGACCAAGCCAGGAAATGACACAACAAATCAAGTCTATAAATTGTTCCATGAAGGTATGTGGGAAGTAATCACATTACTGTGAAAATCAGAGAGCTTGACCATCTCTTCCACCACACTTAGCAGAGTGCTAAGAAAAACAGTATTGCCTAATAAATGGCCTAATGATGACACCAATAAAAACTGCCATTTACTGACTGCATATTATATGCCAGGATTTTAGCTAGGTGCTTTACATAAATAATAGTAATAAGAGTGACAGCCAGAATCTATCAGACATTGTTCCTATGCAGGCTTTACAGTCATTATCCCATTAGATCCTCCCAACTTTGTGACTATGGGGCCTATTGTCACCCCAACGCTAAAGAGAAGCAATCTTAGAAAGGTTCTTACCTGCCCAGGCTTACAGTGAGGATGTGGCTGAGATCTACACCCAGATCAGTGTAACTCCAGAGCCCGTTATAGTCTACTTCTGCCTCTCCATATCACCTGCATCCCTTCTGCCTCCTCAAGAGACCCTCCAAGGACCAATTCCAACTCATGCTGACTAGATGCTTACCTTTTTTGCTGTTTCAAACTCTAATCCCTCTAGAGCTTCCATGGCCAGCTCACGCCAATCAGTGTCTGTCACACCTAAGCAAGCAATCTGGTAGGCTTCTTTGAACATTTTCCTATCCAGGTACTGGTACATCGGAGCAGACTGCAGGATTTCATCAAAAAGAAAAAAGAAGACTTTTCAGAGCAATGGAAAGAGGCAGTCCTACAGAGTCTGCCTCCAGATGTGTGTGATGACTTAATTACAAATGCCTGCAGAATAGCACTACAATGATCAATCAGCACCCTTGCAGCCTCTCCCAGTCCACGTTGCGATGCCTTCCATTCTGCCATCCCCTCTCAGCTGAGCCACAGGGCTCCCCAGAACAAACTTCCTGCCCATCTTCCCCTCTTTCCCACCTCCAGGTCTGTTTCTACCACAGGACGTCACCCTCGCCTGAAATGCCTCTGCCCCTCCCTACTCTCTGGGAAAATACCTATTTGGCTTTGAAGACCCTGCTAAAATGTCATCTCTTCTGGAAAGCCTCCCTGATCCCTCAAGCTCCCACTCCAATAAAAGCGGTCTGAGCTTCCTCTGCCCTTCATCCAGATTCCGGATTGTGCTGTAATTTCATGCTGTCTCCCAAAAAAGGCCATCTTCAACATGTGGGCAGCAGTGGGGTTATACTTACCTCCCTCGGCAGGCCCTCGGTCTATGTTTGCTGAAGGAATGAATGAGTTACTGGGAGGAAAGGGTCTGGGGTGGCCTCTTTTAAAAGAGACTGAGTCCAAGAAAGGTAACTTCCAGGTTACCCAGGAAGGCTCTAGAGAAAAGTCTTCTAGCTCCTTGGTGCTGGAGACCAACTCCCTCCTACAAGATTGGGTTGCCTTGCTGTGAATACCTGTGAATGGTTTCTAATAACTTCCCTTTTTTAGGTTTATAAAGTCATTTTGTATCTGTCCCAACAGCCCTACAGGGGTATTATAATAATACCCAACAGAGGTATTATTACTCCCTGGTTATAGCCCAGGAGATGGCCACTCAGGGAGGACAACTGAGAAGGACACACACCTGGCAAAAGGAAACCTGAGGCTGGAGCCAGAGGCAACTTGACTCCAGGTTCTGTGCTCCTTCCTGCCTCATGTGCATTCATACATGTGTGTATGTGTGCATACATGTGTGTGCCAACAAGTCTGAGTTGAGCCGGGACCTCTGTAGCAATGAAAGTCCTTGACCTGATTTTAGGCTAGTCAGTGTGCTTCAGGAGCCTGCATCTATCCTGGATTCCTGGGCAGTAGAGCTCAATCAGCCAGTACTTCTGTGTTAATGGTTCCCAAATGTGAACGGGAAGTACTGTTTTCTCCATTTGGGGCCTTTATCTTTGAAATTTCTAGTCCTATTTTTTAGCTTTAGAGTTGAAGGAAAATTTTTTTAAAGCTGGCCTTCCCTGACAGCAAGAAATGGCTGCCCCCGAGTGCTTTTCTTTCCTCCCAGGCCATCCCTCCCACCTTCTCTCCTCTTAGATGGGCAGCAGGGCATCGACTGTGGAGCAGTTGAGCTAAAACCCAGGCCTGGCTCAGCCACATCCTAGCTGGGTGAATTTGGGCTCAATCCATTAACTTCTGATTAGATGCCCTGCCCAGCTCAGGCTACTATGGGCAGACGATAGGAACTCTGAAAATGATAAAGCGACGGGTAAAAAGCAGGCACAATCATTACCTCCGCTGAGTTTTCTCAGCACCAGCTCCTCATCTTCTCCAGGGCTTTCCAGATTGTTCCCACCCACCTTCCCCTCTGCCTGAAATATCTTCCTTGCCTCTCTCTGCCTCTTCAGACCTCTCAGCCACCAGATCAAGTTTCACCCCCTCCTGGGAGCTTTCTCAAAGCCCCCACACACAACCAGCTTTCCTTTCTAAACTCCTTTAGTAAGTACGTCCTGTCCCAACTTAGTTCTGTTTTATGGTTTTTGCCTGTCAGTAATAATAAGAAATAGGAATTAGGCCAGACCAAACCTGAAAGATGGGTATCTATTTCACTGAAAAGAAAATGAGGCCCCAAATAGTGAAAGGAGCTGCAGTTACAGTTGGTTTAGATGGCAGAATTAGGACACAAAGCTGGTGCTCCTTCCCCTAAACTGCACAACTTCGCTCTGTGCTGAATGCCCCGTGAGAGTGGGACAAGCACTCAGACAGGCACATCCAAATTAAGCATATGACAGAGGAGGGTTAACATTTGGACTTGCTTGGGAGGCAAAACTGAGTGGGAGTTTTAAAAATATACTTTAACTGAACAAATATCCTTTGAGCTATACTTTATCTCACTGTTGCATTCCAAACATGAAGTCACCACCACCCTGAGAAGCCCTACTAGGGCTTGCTGCCCTACTTGGCAGCCCTGACAAACCAGTTCTTGCACAAGATGATGTAAATTTCAAAAGGAAACCAAAAATCCCAAGAGTGGATCTGATGCCTACCCCCTCTTCTCTGGGTGGAAAACCACAGGATGGCTGGAGGCAAGGCGACAGATAAACAGCCTTTCTCTTGAGACTGCCTTTCCTAACCCTTGGCAGTTCTGTCCTGCTGCATCAGCAGGACAGCCTTGGTGCAGTCAAGGAAGACTTTGGCTACTGAATCTTAAGGTCCTGGCAGAGGAAGCCCTGGGCTGTCCCTCTGGCTCCTCTTGGCTGGCCAAAGTCAGGGAGCAGCAAACTGCATTTATTTTTGATGGCAGGATGGCAATTTTGGGAGAAAACCTTTCAATAAGCATAGCCTATTTGGCACGACTAAAGAAAAGTGAGTTTCTGGTGGATGTGGTGCGTGGGTTTGGGATGGGAGCAGACAAGGACGGCAAGGACACAGTCCACAGGGGGCTGTCTGGGCCTCTTCTCCTGCCGCCACTTCTACCCACCCCACTCCCTTCTTTCTCTTGCTTTCTTCCTTTTTCTTTTTCCTCAGATCTGAATTCCACTAACATTTCTTGAATAACTGCTCTGTGTCAGGTACTTATGGTGGGTACTTCCCCAATAATTCCTGCAGTAAGTAGTAACAAGTGTTTCACTGACTTACAAGAAGAAGTGGACTCTAGTCTGAAGGCGAGTTGCATGGAGGGAATGTAGACTAAGAGAGCCTAGTGGAAGGAAAATCTGGAAATAGGTTAAAAATCTTTCAAATGTGCATAGCTTTTGACCCAGCAATTTCACTTCTAGGAATTTATACCAAGGAGCTAAGCTGGGATAGATGCAAAGACTTAGAAAGATGCTCACTATTTATAATAGCCAAAAAACCATAAATAACAAAAATTTCTGATAGTAGGTGCTAGTTGAGTAAGTTGTAGAACATCCATGTGATAAGAAAAAATGCAGGAGTGAGATATAATCCTGGAGGGGCTGGGGGCAAGAGGGAGTGGGGTGTGGTTATAAAAGGCAGCACAACACAAGGGACCTTGTGGTGTTGGAAGTGTTTAGTGTCTTGACTGTGGTGATAGATTACACAAACCTACACAAGTGATAAAACTACTAGAGTCTGGCAAACTGTTATCACTGGGGGAAACTGGGCTAAATATATAAGGAATCTCTGTATTATTTCTTACAGCTATATGTGAGTCTACATTTATCTTAATATTTTATAAATGCTGAAGAAGAATATTTATTGACATGGAACCATGTTTCCAGTAGATTGCTGAGTGAAAAAAGCCAGTTAAGTAGTTTATTTTTATTTATTGATTGATTGAATGATTGATTGAGACAGAGTCTTACTCTGTTGCCTGGATTACTGTGCCATGGTGCCAGCCTAGCTCACAGTAACCTTAAACTCCTGGGCTCAGGGGATCCTCCTGCCTCAGCCTCCCAGGTAGCTGGGACTACAGGCACACACCACCATGCCCAGCTAATTTTTTCTATTTTTAGTTATTTGGCTAATTTTCTTTCTGTTTATAGTAAAAATGGGGTCTTGGTCTTCCTCAGGCTGGTCTCGAAATCCTGAGCTTAAGCAATCCTCCTGCCTCGGCCTCCCAGAGTGCTAGGATTACAGGCATGAGCCACCGCACCCAACCCAGATTAGTAGTTTAGAGCCAACAATTCATAAGAAGTGATGGGTCTGCTGTATCTAAATGTTAGGTTAAATTAGAAGATAGCAATAAAGAAAGATGATTAAAAGTCTCTCCTGGACACATACAATTTACCAAGATTGAACCAAGAAGAAATAGAAAACCTAAATAGACCAATAACAAGTAACAAGATTGAATCAGTAATAAAAAATCTTCCAACAAAGAAAAGTCCAATGGCTTCACAGCTGAACTCTATCAAACCTTGAAGAAGAATTAATATCAATATTCTCAAACTATTCCAAAAAATTGAAGCAGAGGAAATTCTTCCTAACTCATTCTATGAGGCAAGCAAAACCCTAATAACCAAAACCAGACAAGGACACAACAACAAAAAGGAAAACTTTAGGCCAATATACCTCATGGAGATAGATGCAAAAATCTTCAACAAAATACTAGCAAACCAAATCCAACAACACATCAAAAACACAATACAGGCCGGGCGTGGTGGCTCACGCCTATAATCCTAGATTTGCATATGTTGAACCATCCTTGCACTCCTGGGGTAAATACCACTTGCTCATGATGTATTATGTTTTTTGTTTTTTTGAGACAGAGTTTCACTTTCTTGCCCAGGCTAAAGTGAGTGCCGTGGCGTCAGCCTAGCTCACAGCAACCTCAAACTCCTGGGCTCAAGCAATCCTTTGCCTCAGCCTCCCGAGTAGCTGGGACTACAGGCATGTGCCACCATGCCTGGCTAATTTTTTCTATGTATTTTTAGTTGGCCAATTAATTTCTTTCTATTTTTAGTAGAGATGGGGTCTCGTTCTCGCTCAGGCTGATTTCAAACTCCTGACCTTGAGTGATCCACCCACCTCAGCCTCCCAGAGTGCTAAGAATATAGGCGTGAGCCACAGTGCCCTGCTCAGGCCATGCATTTTAACATTTAAAAAAAAAAAAGAAAAAAAAAGTATGATCATCTCAACAGATGCAGGAAAAGCTTTTGATAAAATTCAACATCCCTTAATGAATAAAAACTCTTAATAAATTAGGTATAGAAGAAAGTACCTCAACATAATAAAGGCCATATATGATAAATGCACAGCTAACATCTTACTGAATGGGAAAAAGCTGAAAGCTTTTCCTTTCAGAACTGAAACAAGACAAGGCTGTCCATTCTGGCTGGGCGCAGTGGCTCATGCCTGTAATCCCAGCACTGTGGGAGCCGAGCAGCCGTGCTCCAAGGTTAGGAGTTCAAAACCAGCCTGAGCAAGAGCGAGACCCGGTCTCTACTAATAATAGAAGAAATAATGGTCAACTAATATATATATACAACAAAAAATTAGCTGGCATGGTGGCACATGCCTGTAGTCCCAGCTACTTGAGAGGCTGAGCGCAACGACTGTTGAGCCCAGGAGTTTAGTTGCTGTGAGCTAGGCTGACCCATGGCACTCACTCTAGCCTGGTTAACGAAGTGAGACTCTGTCTCAAAAAAAAAAAAAAAAAAAATTAGCCAGACAACTAAAAATCTATATAGAAAAAATTAGCTAGGCATGTTGGTGCATGCCTGTAGTCCCAGCTACTCAGGAGGCTAAGGCAGAAGGAATGCTTGAGCCCAGGAGTTTGAGGTTGTTGTGAGCTGGGCCGACGCCACGACACTCTAGTCCGGGCAAGACTCTGTCTCAAAAAAAAAAGGATGTCCACTCTCACTACTCTTATTCACCATAGTACTGGAAGTCCTAGCCAGAGAAATCAGGCAAAAGAAATAAATAAAGAGCATCCAAATTTGAAAGGAAGAAGTCAAATTGCCCCTGTTTGCAGACAACATGATCGTATATATAGAAAAACCTAAAGATTCTAGAAAAAAACTTTTAGAACTTCTAAACTAACTCAGTGAAGTTGCAAGATACAAAACTAATGTACAAAAGTCAGTAGCATTTCTAGAAATGGACAAGAAACTAGCTGAAAAAGAAATCAAGAAGGTGGCTGGGCACGGTGGCTCACGCCTGTAATCCTACCACTCTGGGAGGCCGAGGCGGGTGGATCGTTTGAGTTCAGCAGTTCGGAACCAACCTGAGCAAGAGCGAGACCCCGTCTCTACTATAAATAGAAAGAAATTAATTGGCCTAATAATATATATAGAAAAAATTAGCCGGGCATGGTGGCGCATGCCTGTAGTCCCAGCTACTTGGGAGGCTTGAGGCAGGAGGATCGCTTGAGCCCAGGAGTTGGAGGTTGTTTGCTGTGAGCTAGGCTGACGCCACGGCACTCACTCTAGCCTGGGGCAACAAAGTGAGACTCTGTCTCAAAAAAAAAAAAAAGAAAGAAATCAAGAAGGTGATCCTATCTATGAAAGCTACCAAAAAAAAAATAAAACAGGAATAAATTTAATCAAGGAGGTGAAAGACCTCTACAAAGAAAACTACAAAACACTGATGAGAGAAACTGAAGAGGATACAAACCCATGGAAAGACATCCCACACTCATGGGTCGTAAGAATTAATATTGTTAAAATGACAATACTATCCAAAGCAATCTAAAGATTCAATGCAATCCCTATCAAAATACCAATGATTTTCTTCACAGAAATATAAAAAAAATTCCTAAAATTTGTGAAACCACAAAAGACACCAAATATCCAAAGCAATCCTGAGCAAAAAGAACAAAGCTGGAGGCATCACACTACCCAGACCTCAAAATATATTACACTACAAAGCTATTATAACCAAAACAGCATGGTACTAGCATAAAAACAGACACATAGACCAATTAAACAGAATAGAGAATGCAGAAATTAATCCAAATATCTATAGTCAATTGATTTTTAACAAAGGTGCCAAGAACACTCACCGAGGAAAGAGCAGTCTCTTTAAGAAATGGTGCTGGGAAAATTTGATATACATATACAGAATTAAGCTGGACTCCTACCTCTTACCCTATGCAAAAATCAAGGCTGGGTATGATGGCTCATGCCTATAATCCCAGCACATTGGGAGGCCAAGGTAGGATGACTGCTTGAGATGAGGAGTTCAAGATCAGACTGAGCAACATAGTGAGACCCTGTCTGTACAAAAAAATTTAAAAATCAGCCGATTGTGGTAGTATATACCTATAGTCCCAGCTACTTGGGAAGCTGAGGTAGGAGTGTTACTTGAGCCCATGTGTTTGTGGCTGCAGTGAGCTGTGATCACGCCCCTGTACTACAGTCTGGGCAACAGAGCAATACTCTATCTCTTAAAACATAGGGGAAATGCTTCTAGACATTGGTCTGGGAAAAGATTTTATGAATAAAACTTCAAAAGCTGAAAAATTACCTGTGGGGTACAATGTACATTATTCAAGTGATGGGTACAAAAGCCCACACTTCACCACTATAAAATACATACATGTACTAGAATTCAATTTGTATCTCCTAATTCTATTAAAATTTTTAAAAAGGAAAAAGATACATCAAAAGCACATGCAGCAATAGCAAAAATAAACAAATGAGATTGCATCAAACTAAAAGGTTTCTACATGACAAAGGAAATTCAACAGAGTGAAAAGACAACCTAAAGAATGGAATAAAATATATGCAAACTACTCATCCAACAGGGAATTACTACCCAGAATATACAAGAAACTGAAACATCTCAACAGCAAAACAAAACAAAGCAAAAACACAACAAGAACAACAACAACAACCCAGTTAAGGGGCAAATGATCTGAACAGACATTTCTCAAAAGAACACATACAAATGGCCAAAATATATATGAAAAAATGCTCAATATCACTAATCATCAGGGAAATACAAATCAAAACCACAATGAGGTATTATCCTTTTCACCCCAGTTAGGATGGTTATTATCAAAAAGACAAAAAATAACAGATGCTGATAAGGATATAGAGAAAAGGGAACTCTTATACACTGTTGGTGGGAGTGTAAACTAGTACATTTCCTATGGAGAAGAGTATAAGAGGTTCCTCAAGAACTACAAACAGGCTGGGCGCGGTGGCTCATGCCTGTAATCCTAGCACTCTGGGAGGGTGGGGCAGGCGGATCGTTTGAACTCAGGAGTTCGAGACCAGCCTGAGCAAGAGCGAGACTCCATCTCTACCAAAAATAGAAAAAATTAGCTGGGCATGGTGGCGTATGCCTATAGTCCCATCAGCTACTCGGGAGTCTGAGGCAGAAGGGATCACTTGAGCCCAGGAGTTTGAGGTTGCTGTAAGCTAGGCTAATGCCACAGCACTCTAGCTGGGGCAACAGAGTGAGACTCTGTCTCAAAAAAAAAAACAAAAAAAACTACAAACAGAACTACAATATGATCCAGCAATCCCCCTACTGGGAATTTATCCAAAGGAAAGGAAATAATTATATTGAAGAGACATCTATACCCCCATGTTTATTGCAGCACTATCCACAATAGCCAAGATTCGGAATCAACCTAGGTGTCCAATGACAGATAAATAGGTAAAGAAAATGTGGTGTATATGCAACATGGAATAGTATTCAGCCATAAAAAAGAATGAGATCCTTTTATTCACGGCAACATGGACAGAACCGAGGGACCTTCTGTTAAGTGAAATAAGCCAGGAACAGAAAGTTAAACACCACATGTTCTTACCCGTATGTGGAATCTAAAAAAAGTTGATCTAGTGGAAGTAAAAAATAGAACAGAGGACACTAGAGGCTGGGAAGGGTAGGGGGAAGGGAGGGCCAGGGAGAGATTTGTTAAATGATACGAAACTACAGGTGGATAGGAGGAATAAGTTCTAGTGTTCTATATCACTGTAAGATGACTACAGTTAACAATAATATATTATATAGTTTCAAGTAGCTGGAAGGAGGATATTGAATGTTCCCAACACAAAGTAAAATGTTTGAGATGATGGATATGCTAATTACCCTGATCTAATGACTGACTATACGTTGTATGTATTGAAACATCACTATGTACCCCACGAATATGTATAATTATACTTGTTAATTAAAAATTTTAAAATAAATAAATTTTAAACATAAAAGTCTCTTTTGTTTATAGTCCACATTCAGTGAAGTACCATAAATCTGAGGTTTCATTTATCTATACTATAGATAAAAATCATTAAAACAATATTTACAGTATGATTCTACTTTTGTTTAAAAATGTTTACATAAATCACATGCTCATAATTATATATTATGCATATATCATATATATGTATAGAAAAGGTCTGGGTGGATGTATATATGTTTAAGAGTGATTCTTTCCTGAGGACGGGATTCTGAGTGCTAAAGTTTCTCCTAGGTGCTTGTCCCTGTTTTATGACAATTCTACAGTAAGCATCACTCACTCCGGGGGCAGGCAGGCACCTGGGACAGGTGTGATCAGGCCAGCCCCCACTTGGGTTGCCCATCTCTGCTCTCCTGTCTGTCCTCTTTGTGGCTCCATACTCCAACCTCCCATTTCTGTTCTCCTCCTATTTTCAGAGGACTTATGCAGAGTTCTATGCTCCCTTTTTGGCTCATAGACCTTAGCCCCCACACCCACCCCACTCATTCCCTCTCTCCCTCCCTCATACACATATGCACACACACACCACCACTACACATGCACTCTTGTGTACAACCTGCTGGACTCCCAGCTTTGCTGGCTTGCTCCACTCTGCGCCATGCCTGGCTCTCAGCAAAACACACTCTGCTGACAACACTGCATATCCCTGCCTGTCCTTACCCAGTAAGGATGATCAGAAAGACTCTGAGGATTAGCTGTTTGCCCAAAGACACAGGTTGCGTGGGGTGGCGACAGGGCTTCAGGTTCTGAGTCCTGCCTTCCACAATATCACAGCTGCCACTCCTCTCTCCTCCCTATTCCTTGCTGCCTCCTCCCCAGCATACCAGCGAGGGGCCTGGTTTTCCTGTTCTTGTTTGCCCTGCCACTGTTGAGAGTAAACAGGTACCCTGGGTTACCTGTGGCACCTCCACAGCTGACATGGAGAAGACGTGGAGGCAGAAGATCTTGGAACCATTGTAGCCGACCACAAAGCCCTGCAGCTTCTGCTGGTGCACGGGGAAGGTGCTAGCTTTGATGTTGAGGTAGCCTCCTCCTGAGAAGCAGAGCATGTCCTCACACTGGGTGTTCCAGGCCACGCTGTTGGCGTTTGGTTCCTGAGGGACAGAAATGGTAAGGATCCTGCGAGAACCACCCTGGGCTCTGGCACCACTCCCATATTTCAAATACCCTTTATAAAGACTGAATCCCACTAAACTGCCAACAGTAGGATGGAGGGAAATGGAGGAAAGGTGGACCACAAAGAAATGGATAGAGGTAAGCTCCTCTGTGCATTTGCATAGTGTTGGAATTTTTGAATAAGCAAGCATTCCTTTTGAAAAAAGTTATTCTACCCAAATATTGATCCCTACATGGTAAGTGGAAAATCAGCAAAGCAGGATTCCACTTCTATTAAAAGATAAATGTACATCTGTATACACAGAAGGTTTAAAAGGATTTATTCCAAAGGATTAAGAGTGATTATTTCTGAGTGGGTGGAACTGTGGAATTGGAAAATAAATCTTTTTATTTTCTCCAGTTTTTGTTTGCCTGAATTTTTCTGTGTGTCATGAACGTCTATTTTTTTTATAAAAGAAAAAGAATAGTGAGTTATTTTTAAAATTAGAGAATAATATATTGTTTCTACATATACAATTCACACACTGTAAAAATAGTCACCCTGGGTGGCACCCCCCCACATACCTATTCTTAGTTTTCTGCTCAGCCCTGGAGCCCCAAGGACCAGCAGATGCTCATACCTTTCTGCTTAGAATCTTTTACAATGTCTGAATCTTTTACAATGAGCATGAACTACTTTTATAATGAGAAAAAAACAATATAGTTGTTTTCATTTGTTGGAAGCAGCGGCAGCTGAGAAGACAAAAAGGAAGTAGGCAATGTTACAACTGGGAATATCAATGTCCTGACAAGGCCTGAGACTTACCCTCTGATATGGTTTGGATATTTGGCTCCTCCAAATCTTATATTAAAATTTGATCCCCAGTGTTGAATGTGGAGCCTGGAGGGAGGTATTGGGTCATGGTGGCAGATCCCTCATGATTGGGTTGGTGTCCTCCCCACAATAATGAGTAAGCTCTCACTTTATTAGTTCCTGGGAGAACTGGTTGTTTAAAAGAGCCTGGCACCTCCTCCTCCATTCTTTTCACTTCCTCTCTCATCATGTGACATGCCTGCTCCCCCTTCACCTTCCACCTTGATTGGATGCTCCCTGAAGCCCTTGCCAGAAGCAGATGCTGGAGCCACACTTCTTGTACAGCCTACAGAACCATGAACCAAATAAACCTCTTTTCTTTATACACTACCCAGCCTCATGTATGGACTAATACAACTTCCCTAGCCTACTTTGGAGATATGGGTGGGGATGGGGAGGGAACACACCCTTCCACTTTTATATGGTTCTAGGCTCAGACACAGATTCACAACAGGGGCCTGCTAACCTACCTACAGGTCTGGGGTGGGGGTAGTGTTGAGGCTGGGAAAAAGGAAAGTAATATTCAGGGCCCTATTTTGTGCCAAGCTAGGTACTATGGTATGTTGTTTATTTCTGTAGCAATTCTGTGAGGGGGCAATTACTAGTTTCATTTCAGAGATAAAGAGAAATTGAGGCTCAGAGAGGTTCACTAACTTGCTTAAGATCACACCATAAGTGATGCAGGACCGACTTGAGCCCAGGTCAGTCTGAAGGTTGTGCTCTTTCGCTCCCCTAAACCACTCTACTTCCTCAGTGACATGAACAAGTTAATATTAACTGGAAATCACCTCTAAGCTAGTGGTAGCCAGGTAACCCCTTCTAACTGACTGAGGCAATCCCCTACTCCAGGCAACCCTACACCCTACTGATTCCACTGTTCAGGACAAGGGGCCTTGTTAGGTGGACCTAAATCTGCCCTATAACATTGGGAAACCCTGCAGGGGCCAAGGAAACCAGTCAGGAGAGGTTCCAACTTTGGGGGAAACTCTCTTCAGGCAAACCAGCCCTGAACACTTACAAAGCCCTAAAGAGGCAAAGAACAGCCCAGTTCAGCAGGAAACCGACAAGGTACTGGGCATGGAGCCTCTGGGCTTTCATCTCCAGTGACACACTTCCTCCAGCCACAGGAACGAATGATGTATAAACAATGCCTATACCCGTCAGACTTGTGGGGGGAGAGGGGGAGAATGGGCATTTATTGAAACCTTAAAATATGTACCCCCATAATATGCCGAAATAAAAAAAAAAAAAAAGAACTACCATTAATCTCTCCTCTGGGTACATATCCAAAGGAAATAAAATCAGTATCTCGTATAAAACAAAACAAAACAAAACAAAAAAAAACAATGCCTATACCCGAATCCAAACAGTTCACATTTTGTTGGCTCTTACAGCACCCCTGTGAAATAAGCAGAAGGGCAGACTTCCCCACCCTCCTGTTCTTTTCCTTCTTTCAGGTGACAAAACTGATCCTGTTTCCTTACTGTGCCTTAGGTCACTCATAGAAACAGCCAGGCCTCTGGCAGGTGAGATACAGACTTCTTCAAAAGCAGCATCATCATCACCACATTAATTCATTCACTGAGAACCCACAACATGCTCCACTTAGATTTAGTATTATCTCATTTATTGCTCACAGTAAACATGTAAGAAAGGTGTTACTTGCCAGGAAGGAAACCAAAGTTCACAGAGGCTGGCGCAGGCCCTGCAGCTCGTGGGTACATGGGAGAAGGAGCAGGCTGTGGCCTGGGGCCTCTCAGACTCTGCACCTATGCTTGGCTCCTACACCTCACTGCTCCTCCCAGAGACCTGCCTGGGCAAGAGAAGGGGTGCCTCTGCAGGGAAAAGAAGGGTTTCTAATCAAAGGACCACATCCTTGGGCACTGTCAGGGACTTCACCTGAAAAAGCAGCTCCTTGGTGTGGATGTCATACACCAGGCATGTGTCGTTTTCATCTACCACAGCCAGCTTGTTACGGGAGGCATTCATGTCCAAGCAGCGCACGGCTGTGGCCTGCTTCAGCAGGACGATAGCGAAGAGATTGTCCACAAAAATCTTTAGTATCTGCGGAAATTTCAGAGAAGAAAGTGAGTCACCATGGCAACAAGGCCCTGGAACACTGCCAGGCTGTTGGAATCCCATGTGTTCTACAAGAACAACTCCTACTAATTTCACCAGAAGCTCTATGCAGAGAAAAGGACTCATCAAAAGAAAAAGGGGGAAAGGGGTGGTGGCTTATCCTTAGGAGACCAGAAGTGTGGTTCATCAGAGGTCACCAAAGCAATGACAGGCCTGAGATAGGCCAAACTTACTATAGCATGTGTTTGGACTGAGGATTTGTTAATGACATTACCCAAACTGCAGGGTTAGGAGATACCATCCTAACAAAGATCTGAGCTGCAAACTAACACAGGAAAAGGCTACTATAGACACAGATAAGACATCTGGTATAAAATAAGAATGATGCTGCTAATGATGATCACAGCTATCATTTATTGCTATCCCTGGTTTTTTGTGGGTTTGGGAGGGATTTTTTGAGACAGAGTCTTGCTCTGGCACCCAGGTTAGAGTGCAGTGGCATCATTATAACTCACTGCAACCTCGAACTCCTGGGCTCAAGTGATCCTCCTGCCTCAGCTTCCCAGGTAGCTGGGACTACAGACCCACACCATCACGCCTGGCTAGTTTTTCTATTTTTAGTAGAGACCAGGTCTCACTCAGGCTGGTGTCTCTCTCTCTCTCTCTCTCTTTTTTCAATTTCATTTTTTAGAGATAGGGTCTTGCTATGCTGCCTAGGCTGGAGTACAATGGTTAGTCACAGGTGTAATCACAGCTCACTGCAGCCTTGAATTCATAGATTCAAGCAATCCTCCTGGCTCAGCCTCCTGAGTAGCTGGGACTACAGGTGCACACCACCACACCCAGTTTCGATATCCCTGTTTTTGACAGCCCTATGAAACATGTGGTTTTATCCTCATTTGTAAAACTTTGACCCAGAGAGGTGAAGTGACCTGCCCAGGACCCCAAAGAACATGACCCAAGGCTGATCTTACCCCAAAGTCCATGCTCCCAGTGTCACATGGAAAGTGAGAGCTGACAGGGAGAAAGCAGCAGGCCCTCCCTCCCCTTTGGTATTGCTGTTTGATTGTTGCTCCACTGATCTCATGCTCTGTGACTTCCTTCCTAAGCAAAGACCTGACAAGCCTCAGCCACAGGCCATCTGTTACACAGCTTGGCTCTCAGACTAATGCAGTTATATTTTCACATTCAAATTTCCATGTAGCCCACTTAGAACTTTTATTTTGAGCAAAGAACACACACAGATCTGTTTAACTTTGTGTAACCTAGATTTCTGACATGTATTTGACCAAAGGGTTCATTTTTTTTTATAGCATCTACTAACATCCTGAGGACCCAGCATTCTCTAGGATACACACTAGCACACACTATGTTAATCTACTTACTGCCCTAGTAGGGATCTGACCTAAGTAATGATCTCTGCCTCCCCCTCTAGCAAGCCACTGAAGATGCATCTCTAAAGAATCTCCCCCATATTGAATGACCTTAATCCCACTAGTCTACTCTATGTGCAGCCCAGAGGCTGCAGTTCAACTCTGCCAGAATGTGAGTATGCTATGAGTCCGAGGGCCACTGTGACTTTGGCCTAGAGCTGTCCTCATAAAACTAAATTCAGTGATGCCCTCCAATGCGCCCATGGAGAGAAGAAGCCTTTTTCCTGTCCAGGGAACCCATCTCATGGTCACCACTAGACAGGTTGCCTGCATCTGTGTGCAGATACTCAAGCTGACGGGAGACATGCAGGGAGTGCTCACCTGCCCATTCTTCAGGCCCACTAATAGACCTTCTCTTCCAGGAGGGCCACCAATCACCTTAATGTAACGAATGAGAGACTCCATCTGCCACTCTCGCTCCTTCACTCCATTGAAGGACAGGCACTGCAGCCGTTTCTCCTAGGAAACAAACCCAGCTCTGCACAGACATTCAACAGAGTAAGTGCAGCCAGCCCTCCCAAGGAGGTCTTCCTTGATCTGAAGGGTGAAAAATACTGGCACATTCTGTATCTATCTAACCTCATCTAGTCCCCATGGTTGGCACAGTTAAACCTTCATGCAAGTCCTTCCCATGGAGCCCAATTCAGCCTGAGATCTTCAATGCAGACCTCAATCCAGACGGTCATGGCCAGAGACAGCACCGAAAAGTTCACCTATTTGCCACACCTATCCTGTAACTTGTGGTACTCCTAAACTGCTTGAAGTTATAGACTTTTAAAGAGATTTTAAAAGTATTTTATGCTATAGTGATTCCTAAAGGACTTCTTCCATTTTATCATTTCCATAGGCCTAAGTAAAACAAAATCTACCTCTACTTTCAAGAAAGATAAATGGTAGGCTTCTCTCAAAGTCTTTCCAAACTTCTCTTGGCATTGACCTAGGCAGTTTCTAGAAATCTAAGTTGAGAAAATTTTTTCTATGAAAAAAAATCTCTTAGGAAATAAACTTCCTTGACTATTGCTGAGTTGACATAAATTTTATGTATATATGCTTATCAAAAAAAACCCGTCTTCATTTTGTGAATTATATAATCCCAGTATGACAAAATGCTCTGCAATACAAAAGAGTATTCTCCAGTTTATAGCCCATGGCTTTCTAATAGAGTCTGATTCATCTAGATGCCAGTAAAATGAAAGCCAACACATAGCCACTGAGTGATGGAAAGGGACTTGTTTTCCAGTGACCAGTTTTAAAACTGTGAGGTGGTTACCATATTGTTACAGGGAATATAGAGTGAATTCAGCCTGCCCCCTCCAACACATTACTGCCCACCTGGCAGAGGATGATGTGATTGGCACACACCACCAGGAGGTTGCATTCGAACTTCTTGACAATCTTCTCCTTTACCCGGTAATGCATGTCTGATGAGTCATCTGAATACAACTCATATATGAGGATTTTCTCTGGCAGTTGGATAGCTAATCGATTTTTGTAGATGGCAATTTTCTTGACAAGCTCTTTGCATTTAATCCGAACTGTCAAAGAAAAAAAAAATTCAGCTTTAGCAAGAGATTGTTAAGTAACATAGAAGGCAGAGAAATTAAAAGCTATCATTTACTTAGTGCTACTGGCAATTAAAGTGAGACACTCTCATTAAAAAAATCTTTACAGAATATCTAATGTGTACAATCAACTCTGCTGAGCGCTGGGTTCCAAAGTCATATACAATACAATCTTTGTGGTCCAAAGCTTACAACTGAGTATGGAAAATAAAGCACTTAGTGCCACCATCATTTGTTGAATATAAATCTAAACTCCTCCGCACAGCACTAATGGCTCCTGACAATCGGGAGCCCACCTAAGTGACTGACTTTACCACTGGCCATTCCCCACCAACCTCCTTGACAGTAGATAATGGCACAGATCCTTGAGAGTGGCCTTTTAACTGAATCTAAATTTTATAGAACAAATCCTTTTAATCAAGGGATTTGTTCTATGAAGTTTGAATTTGGTAGAGGGGCTGCACTTGGGGATCTGGAGGGCCACACATGGCCTTGAGGCCACAGGTTCCCCCACCCCTTGACTCTACACTCTCACTACAGACCAGGTAGAGAAAATGTCTCAGAAGGGATACTGGAGAGCTGCCCAAGTGGCTCCACCCCCACTATCAGAGCTGGAATCTTCAGAGGTGCTTCCAGATGGGATCAAAGGATGCCCATTTGAATCTACAAGGCAACCTCCAACCTGGATCCCCATGTAAATACCCTGGATATGAATATACTGAAATAAACAGATTCTTAGCCTATTTAACCAGCTCAGCTACTTAGGTAGACACAGGGGGAGACTGAGGTTACAGCCTGAACTAACTATGCTAGGCCTGGAACCTCGAATCTTCTGACTGAGCCTATGCTGACCCACAGCTCCTGCTTATCTCTGGCAGAAGGACCCACCAGGAAGCAACTGGAGACTGGGCTGAGAGAGAAGCACCCCAAAGTGACTCTGACCAGAAGAGATAAAGTTCCACAAAGACCCATGCAGGTCAACCACCTTGCTTCTGACTTGTCATAAGTCATCTTCCCTTACGCAGGGAGTTCATGTATCCCTTCAAAGTATTTGTAAAATTTTGAATCAGTGTTTTTTTTTAGTTTTTGTTTGTTTGTTTGTGGGTGTTTTTTGAGACAGAGTTTCACTGTGTTGCCGGGCTAGAGTGCCGTGGAGTCAGCCTAGCTCACAGCAACCTCAAACTCCTCGGCTTAAGCTATCCTTCTGTCTCAGCCTCCTCAGTAGCTGGGACTACAGACATGCGCCACCATAGCTGGCTAATTTTTTCTATATATTTTTAGTTGGCCAATTAATTTCTTTCTATTTTTAGCCACCATGCCCGGCCTTTTTTTAGTTTTTTTTTTTCTTTTGAGACAGAGTCTCACTTCCCTTCCCGTCCCTTTCCCTTCCCCTCCCCTCCCTTCCCTGCCCTGCCCTTCCCTTCCTTCCCTTTTCCCTTCCCTTTCCCTTTCCTTTCCTTTCTTGAGACAGGGTCTCACTTTGTTGCCCAGGCTAGAGTCTAGAGTGAGTGCCGTGGCGGCAGCCTAGCTCACAGCAACCTCAAACTCCTGGGTTCAAGCAATCCTTCTGCCTCAGCCTCCCGAGTAGCTGGGACTACAGGCATGCGCCACCATGCCTGGCTAATTTTTTCTATATATTTTTAGTTGGCCAATTAATTTCTTTCTATTTTTTTCTATTTATAGTAGAGATGGGGTCTTGCTCTTGCTCAGGCTGGTTTCGAACTCCTGACTTTGAGCAATCCGCCCGCCTCGGCCTCCCAGAGTGCTAGGATTACAAGCATGAGCCACCGCCCGGCCTTAGTTTTTTTTTTTTTTTGAGAGAGAGGATTTATTGCTTTTGTTAAGATCCTCAAAGGGATCAACAGCCTCCCTGTTCCCACCATAAAAACCAAGACCAAATGACTATCATGTTTTCAGAAGACCAAGGTAAAACATTTCCTGTCATTTTAAGTGCCCTGTCGCCAGCTCTTTCAACCTACCCCCTTCCCAATGCCTGGCAGGCAGAGGAACCCTACTTGCCTCTTACCTTTCTGCTCAGTGATCAGGTGCTGCACAATGACATCAGTCATACTATCCCTGTAGGCATACCGGTTCTTGTAGAGCCCATGGACTGTACTGAAAACAAGCTGGTAGAAGGAAATCGTGCCGTCCTGGCAGCCTACCACCTGCAGAGTAAGACAGTTGTCAATTCCCAGCTGTCTGTGGAGAGTCTACCCTCCCATTTGTCAGGAACAAACACCAATGATCTGACGAGCTAAGCATGGCTGATGCTCATTGCAATAAATGAACTTCCTTTCCTTACCACATAGTTGGATTCGGGTTTCACTTTACACGTCCACACCCAGGAGTTCTGCTCCCCAACAGTCCCAAGCCGAACTCCATCCTTGGTGAAAAGAGATACTTGCTTGTCTGACCCCCCCAGCAAGATGTACTCCCCTTTACTAAAGTAGCTGACGCAGCAGGGGTCAAAATTCAGTGACCGATCCTTCCCAATCTAAGGAAAGAGAACACATACCAAGGAAAAAATCATTTCTGAATCCATAATAATCTCAAAACAATTAAGGGTTTTTCTCAGTTAATGGGGACAGGTGGGAAGATAGCAGAGAGCTGGCCAGCCTTATCTCCTATGTCATTCCACACGGACACGAGCCTTTCTGCCTCTGGATCACCCTACTCCTCCAGACCTCCACACAGCTGAATCCTCGACCCCTAGAGTCAGCAGCAACTTCCCTAGTCCCACCAAATTGCTCCAGGAGTGTGTCTCAGCTGCTCAAGCAACCTGGAGGCTGGGATGGTCATGCCCCCATAGGCCCTCCTCTGCACATAGCTCTTGCTGTGCATCAGTGGGTCCCCACGGCTTCTCTTTTCTATCTTTTTAAAAAGTATTTTACAAAGCTGAGTTTATTCAGTTTAAAACACTGTCCTTTATTCTGCAACTATGCCCATCTTACTTCTCTTTATAATGACTTTTTAAAGGTATAATTTACATACTATATAATTCATCCATTTAAAGTGTATAATTCAGTGGCTTTCGTAGTCACAGAGTTGTGCAATCATCTAACTCCAGAACACTTCCATCACCCAAAAAGAAACCCCATACCTGTTAGTAGTCTATCCCAATTCCTCCCTCGCTTCATCTCTGCAACCACTAGCCTACTTTCTATCTCTATAGATTTACCTATTCTGAGCATTTCATTTTTTATTTATTTTTATTTTTTTAAACTTTACTTTTTTTATTTTATTTTTATTTTTTTGTTTGTTTGTTTAGTCTAGTGTATATCAGGGACATATTTTGAGCATTTCATATAAATAAACTCATATTATGTGGCCTTTTGTGTCTGGTTCATACATGTTGTGGCATGTACCAGTACTTACTTCCTTTTCATTGCTGAATATATTCATTGCATGATATACCACATTTTACTTATCCATTCAGCAAGTGATGGACATTTGGGTTGTTTCTACTTCTGGCTATTATGAATAATGCTGCTATGAATATTCACATACAAGTATACAAGTTTTTGTGTGGACATATATATGTTTTCATTTTCCTTGAGCATATACCTAGAAATGGAACTGCTGGGTCATATAAATTTATTTTTAACTTTTTGTGGAACTGCTATACTTTTTTAAAGTGACAGTACCATGCTATATTCACACTAGCAGTGTATGAGGATTCCAATTTCTCTATTCTAGTGGGTGTGAAGTGGTATCTCACTGTGGTTTTGATTTGCATTTCCTTGATGGCTAAAACGTTAAGCGTCATTTCATGTGCTATTGGCCACAAAGAAATGTCTATTCAGATCTTTTGCTCATTTTTCAATTGGGTTATTTGTTGTTTCATTATTGCATTGTTCTTTATTCTAGATACAAGTCCCTTATCAGATATATGATTTGCAAAAATTTTCTGTGTACTGCCTTTCAACTTTCTTGATGGTGTCTCCTCAGCTTTTAGGATGAAGGTCAAACTCCTGAGTTCGGCCACCGAGATGTTTTTCTTGGCCAAAAAGAACTTCTTGCAGTTTCCCATGTGGATCATGCTCTTTCAGGCCTCCATATCCTCACAGGTGCTATTCTTTACCCCACCCCCAGCTGGGAGTGCTCTTTTTCTCTCCTTCTCTGCCAGGTATCATCTCCTCAAGGAAACATCCCCAAACTCCCACTCACTCCATGTTCCCACAGCCCCTGTGCTCGCCTCTCCTACAGCACTTCTCTCACTGCCTGTAGTTACAGAGCTCATTTCAGGTCTCCTACACTAAAGCCCAACCCCCTTATTGCCACTAGAGTTTTTCTGCTGCCCATGAGGGCATCTTTTGTAAATAAAAAGACTATTTATGATTAGCATTCTTAAACTAATATTCAACTTATTAAAGAAATAACTCTATGAACCTTGTTTCTCCTTAAGATTTTAAGTTCAATTTACAAATATTTTCCTATTTATAAATCTAGCAAAAGTGAACAGCCAATTTACTTTGACTATTTAATGAATTCAGTTTTGAACAGATCATAAAATCGCTTAAATATTCAGTCCCATTTACAACTTAGTTAATTCCCCTAAACTGATTTAAACTGCAATTATAAATTTAATATATTCAATTTTCCTTTCCCTTTTAGGAATTTCAAATGCCTGGCAGCCAAAACTTTCCCTAGTATTTATACAATGCTAGTAAATCTAATAAGAAAACTAAAAAAAAAATCTCATGAGTCATGATGTGGAAGGCTGGCAGTTATTGGTAATGTTTCAGTGGTTCCTACTGGACCAACCCTCCTGTGGGTAACAACTGTAAACTCTGCACCAAGTATAAGTAACTACCACCTGAGGCAACCAAAATCAGGCAGAAACTGAAGACACATGCATGTTAGGAAGAAGGGAACAGAATTAAATGAACTTCTTTTTTTTAAAAAAATGGCTTTTTGCCTGAGGGCATGCCTCATTAGCACCATGCTGGGTGAGTACAGAATTTGGAGGATGACACTAGCTGGAAAGTGATGTGGGAAATCCCAGAAAAGAGATGTGGAGTGGGAGACTAAGTTCTGCATATAAACTCTGCTGGATATCTGGAAACTCTTGAACTATACCCTGCAACACAGGTACCAAGCAGCCTAATGCTAAAGAATTGCACAGACATGTTAGCTGTTGCCCTCCATTGGAAACATGGAGTTTGAATTCTGTGTCCAGCAAAGTAAACTGCCTGCTTAAACACACACACACACACACACACACACACACACACACACACACACACACACATACATCCTCAGAGGGACATGATACCATTCTCAATGCCCAGAGTACAATCTAAAATTCAAAAAGCGGCTGGGCACGGTGGCTCACGCCTGTTAATCCTAGCACTCTGGGAGGCCGAGGTGGGCAGATTGCTTGAGGTCAGGACTTCGAAACCAGCCTGAGCAAGAGCGAGACCCCTTCTCTACTAAAAATAGAAAGAAATTAATTGGCCGACTAATATATATAGAAAAAATTAGCCGGGCATGGTGGCGCATGCCTGTAGTCCCAGCTACTCTGGGGGCTGAGGCAGCAGGATTGCTTGAGCCCAGGAGTTTGAGGTTGCTGTGAGCTAGGCTGATGCCACGGCACTCACTCTAGCCTGGGCAACAAAGCGAGACTCTGTCTCAAAAATAAAATAAAGTAAAATAAAATAAAATACAATTCAAAAAGCATCTCCAGAGAAAAGGATGGTTAAAAAAATTCAAAAAGCAGGAAAATGTGAACCATATTCAAGAGAAAAGACAATTAATGGAGACTCACCCAAGATGACCAAGATGTTATAATTATCAGATAAGAATTTTAAAACAGCCATTATAACTGCTTAACTATGGTTAAGCATATAAAGGAAAAGATGAATGAACAAATAAGAAAAAAGAACCAAATGGAAATTCTAGAATAGAAAAATGCAGTAACTTAAATACAGATTCACTGGATGGGCTTAATAGAAATATTAGAGATGGCAAAAGAGTCAATGAAGTTGAATACTAAGCAATAGAAATCCTCCAATCTGAAGATCAGAGGGATAAAAAGTGAAAAATGAACAGGACTTCAGTGCCCTGGAGAACAATATCAAAAAGTCTACCATAAGTATAATTGGAGTCCCAAAAGGAAAGGAGAGAATGGGTAAAATGTTTTTGAAGAAGTAATGGCCAAAATTTTTCCACATTTGGTGAAAGACATAAAGATATAAATATATAGATTCAAAATGCTCAGTGGACCCCAAGCAGAAAAATGCAATGAATTGCTTAAACATTCCAATATTGCTTAGGAAGTTAATAAAAAATTCTTACATCTTTACATTTAAAATCAAGAGTATAAAATTAGTTACTCAATTATAATCTTTAAATGGTCATCATAAGACTAATTTTATAGACATTCTAATATGGATTCTGGCACCATTCTGACTGGGTTCCAAACCAGGGTTGGCCACAGACTAAACTGTATGCCCTTAAGCAAATTACTGAACCTCTCTGTGCCTCAATTTTCTTACATGTAGAGTGGTGATAATAGTACCTACCTCAGAGGGTTGTTATAAGGATTAAAAGAGTAAATCCTTGTAAAGAGTTTATATAATGCCTAGAACTCAGTAAGTGTTAGCTATTACTATTAAGCCAGATCCTCTTAAATATTAAACACTTAAAATGTCAAAAATACATAAATTATTCCTAAGCTTAATATAAAAGTATGAGACTGGTTTACTTCAATATCCTATATTTAATTCTAAATATTCCCAGAGCTAAAAGGACACTTACCCACCAAGAAAACAATTCACTTTCCCAAATTGGGGTTACCATCTCAGCAGACTGAGGTTGCTCATCATTCAAAGTCTTTGGGTCACAACATCAGTTCTGGGGCTGCATACATGGAAGATATTTGCATGGCCCTCACCACCACGTTGGACTCTTTTTCACTGGTCACTATAGCAACAAGATGCCAATCCCTCCCAGTGTAGTGTGGTTGTTGCCAGAAGTCTCTAATACCCACACTTAGTGCCTGGTACATAGTAGGAGTGTCAGTAAATATTTGTTGAATGATGATGTACACTCATTAAGTGGATGGATAGACAGGGCCAGGGAAACTAGATGCCTGTTAATTAAAATCAGGGTTTTGGGAAATGAGCCATGGGAAACTCAGAAAACACTTCATCGTCTAACTATGTTTATTTTTTCTTTACTCAACTACAAAAAAAAAGACCAATGATAATGCAGGGTAGAAGAAATTATTCCAAAGCTGATCTATACATATCTGAAACCCCTCCTTCTAGTATGACATATTTGAGGAATAAGGATGGCTGTAACGTGAAAGGCTCCATTGAATAGGCTGTATTTCACACTTGCTTGGCTGTAGGATGTAAATGTGCCCACCACCTTCACTCTAATCCTTGGCATTTCTTGCCTACTAAAAGGTCATCCAACCATCACTTGCTCTATATTGTAATCCACCTTCCACAGAAACAATGAATTTTTCTGAAACAGGAATCTGACCTTGTCATCTATGGCTCCTGAATACTTAAAGTGTATGATGTTCAAACTCCTTATTCACACTATTCAGGTCCTTTACAATCATATCCTCATCTTCCTCTCCAGCTCCATCTTCACAGGATTTTACAAAAATTAAATGAGATAAAGTATACAAAACACTGAATATAGTACTTGGTAACAGGGTAAATGCTCAAAAAGCAGGAACAATGATAATGTACAATTAATAATAATACAATCTCAGAAAGTAAAAATATACTACAACAGGAATAACTGCAACTGGGTTTGTATAGGGCTACATACCTGTTTTCCACTCAGTTGGTAGAAGGAAAGTTTCTGTCCCCAGTCAGCTACAGCCATGATATCATTATGTTCCTCTCTAATCAACGGAAGACAAAAGAAGTTATGAGGAGTCATGGCCTGCTGATGAGTATAGCCCTAAGGGTTTCACAAACAACAGGAAAAAGAAAACCCTGCCCAGGCTGTCAGGTTGCCAAATGTACAGCTTTAATAAGGCCAAAAGTTGTAATTTGGCCCAACCCATCAATCAGTCCAATGAGATGAAGCAGAGAGGCAGTCCTCCCGGGATCTGCTATTTCAATGAATCCCTTGCCATGAGCTTATGGTCCTGGGACACTGTTGCAGCTAAAGAAGATAAACCCCTTCTTTCAGCACTTCCTGGGGAGCAACACTAAGAAACAGCAAGGCTGTAGATCCAGGAGTGCTACTCTTTTACTACAAAATGTGGGGAGATGGTAGAGAAACATATCAGTTGCAGGGAGAAGGCATGGAATGTCTGATTTTTTGATGGACAGAAGGGAAACTTTCTTGTTCTTCATGAAGAGGGAAAATTAACACCTAAAACTAGGTTCTCTTGCAGGTAGGGTCCTCGCACAGGTGAAATGGTATCTGATTGAATCTAAAAGAAAAGAGTAGTGGGCTCTCTGAAGAACAACTGTCTTTGAATCTGGGAAGCTATGGGGATCAGTGCTTTGGGGCTGGGTCTGTAGGACTCACATACAGGAGAGACTCCCAAGTTTGAGGCTGGGGAGCAGGCGACCTAGGAATCTAGTTCAAGAGAAAGGCATTCCCAGCCTTTGAGGCTGGGTCTTTCTTTTTTTTTTTTGAGACAGAGTCTCGCTTTGTTGCCCAGGCTAGAGTGAGTGCCGTGGCATCAGCCTAGCTCACAGCAACCTCAATCTCCTGGGCTCAAGCAATCCTGCTGCCTCAGCCTCCCGAGTAGCTGGGACTACAGGCATGCGCCACCATGCCCAGCTAATTTTTTTTGTATATTTTTAGTTGGCCAATTAATTTCTATTTATAGTAGAGACAGGGTCTCACTCTTGCTCAGGCTGGTTTCGAACTCCTGACCTCGAGCAATCCACCCGCCTCGGCCTCCCAGAGTGCTAGGATTACAGGCGTGAGCCACCGCGCCCAGCCTGGGTCTTTCTTAATTCACCTAACGTTGCCTCTTTATTAATTCCAGCTTTTCTGAGCCCAGAGCCTTTTTGTTTGTTTGTTTTGTACTTTTTGTTTGTTTCATGTCTCTAGAGACAAGGTCTCACTGTGCTCAGGCTGATGTCGAACCCCTGAGCTGCAGCTATCCTCCCGCCTCGGTCTCCCAGAAATCTAGGATTACAGGCGAGAGCCACACATGGTACAGCCTTGTTTGTAAAACCCAGCCAAGAGTGGCAAAGTGACAAATGTTATAGGCACTAATTCATAACTAAGAGAAAAGAGAAAAAGATCAAGAGGGATGTTAATAGGAAGAGGCCTGCAGGTGAACTGTGTGACGGGCATTGAAGTCCAAACACAATCCAGGAGCCCAGCCCACAGTGAACCCTCTTGGGGAAGCCACATATGGCTCTGAGCTGGGTTCTAACTCTATGTACTGGATTGGTGGGTTGAAGGCTATGCCTCACACCTCCTCCTTTCATGACCGAGGGGTGGAGTTCTTTCACGGAGCCTCAGGGAACCATAGAACACAGTTTGGAAAGTCCCAAGCTAGATCACTATTACCCAGTCAAAATATCCTGGCAACCCCCAGAGCTTTCCCCACTCCACACAGCCCATGTTTTCCCTACAGGTGATTTTGTTGTTGTTGTTGTTGTTAAAGACAGGGTCTTGCTGTGTTGCCCAAACTGGACTGCTGGACTTTGGACTTGAACTCCTTGGGCTCAAGTGATCCTCCCACATCAACTTCCCAAGTAACTTGGAATACAGGTATATACCCAGCTCCTACAGGTAATCTTGATTGAAGAGAAAAAAGGATTTGGATATGAGGATTGTGGGCAAGGTAAGGGCTTCCTCTCTGTTATGTGTCCTAGTAAATGCAAGGTAAGGTACAGTGTGGGAACAGACAAAGTAACATGCCCAGTAACAGAGGAAGTATTAAAAGAATTATGGGCCACGCACACAAGGGCATACATATGCAGGCATTAAAAATCATGTTTTTCAAAGGATTTCTAATGTTACTGGAAAGAATTCACTCTGATGATAAGTGAAGAAAAGAAAAGCAGGATATGATTTAGCTAATTATATGAACACACTAAAAGACTGAGAGTAAATACACTTAAATGCTAATAGTGGTTTTCTCAGAGGATGGTATTTTACAGAAAAGTTGAACTTTCTCCTTTAGACTTTTCAGTATTTCCTATAGTTTCTCACAGGATCACTTTATAACCCCCACACAAGTTTTAAGGGTGTGTTCCTCTTTGTTGGAAGAGCTTTCACCCACAAGTCCCCTGGCCCCTGCACTGCTCCCCTTGGCCAAGGAGCTTAATACCAGCATCTGCCCCAGCAGGTCTGTTTGGGCCTGGCCCTTTACAAGGAGGGTTCTTGCTCCTTGGGACACACTCACAAGTTGTCGTCCCTGGGACTGTCGTCCTCTTCCTCTGGCTCTTCCTCCTCTGCCTCACTACCCTGACTACTGTATACTGTTGACTTCAGAGTGGAAGGGATTTCCTGAAAATATCTGTTGACAATGACTTCCTCGGCATCCTCGTTCTCTCTGTTCATCCAGAAATTCTCCCACCGGCTGTAGACAGTAAGTGGTTGTTCAAAATCACATTGCCTAAAACTACACTAAAGCTATAATTTCAAAATCTGTCAAGGAGCCCTTGAACCCTACCCGGAGGGGGATAGCCACCAAGTACACCGGGCATCCTGCTTCTCATGAATTAAAAATGGTAGCATGAAGCCACAAAGTCATCTGTGGCCACAAAATCAAACAGCAGGAACTCTGGGATAGGCTAATGGCCTTTGATGGCATTAGACATGCATGGTACAGCCCGAGCTGTACAAAATCAATTCCGGAAGAAGCATAATAATGTGGTGTAGGAAAGGCAATGGAATTAAACAACTTTCTAAATCAAGGAGACACCCACCTATACAGTGACACTGGACCAGTAAACAATTAAGTCCTTTACCTTCAAAGGACTCTGTGGGGGATACTGATGGTTTAATAATAACACAGGATTACACAAAGAGCATATAAAGCTATTAGTCTACCCTCAAAGTCACATGGGCATAGAAAGGAAAGTGTGAATAAGGTTTGAGAAGGTGGATGTCAATTATTTGTGGACTTCTAGGCTGTAGGGACATTTGTAGACTTAATTTTTACTTTTTGACAAGGGCAGAAAAAAGGCTCAGGATAAAGCTATTTATTACCAGGTGGATACATATTCTGCCCAGACAGGGAAGGAAGAACTGAAAAAGGGAAAAGAAAAAAATAAAGCTACAACAAAAAAGCTCAGCTATTAATTCATAAGGAATGGCCCTCCTGTGTTGCTCACGCATCACACACAAACACAAATACACACACCTTGGGCAGGCCTACATAGCTCATCTATTTAGCTCAATCCCTGGGATTCATTCCAAAACCCAAGATAGGCTCTTAAAAATTCCATACAAATAGAACAGCTTCCAAAACAGACCAGTCAAGTGGAGTAAGAAGCCTTTGAATGCAAAGAGACCTTAGAAGAGAGAAAACCCTTCTTCATAATAGTGTTTGTCCTTAAAGAAGGACAGCTATAAGAGTACCTTGAAGGGTTCCAGGAGATGGACCATATTGGGGAGAGGGAGCCCCCTGGCCGCTCAATCTTCACTTTCTCCTCGCCATTTTTGTTCCGAATGCTGATGATCCCATTGAACATCCCCAGAGCCAGGTACTGACCGTCATTTGTCCAGCTGTGCACACAACCAACAAAGGGCAAGGGGAGAGGGAAAGGACCACACAGAAGGTAAAACTAGTGAGCATGATGCCTTGGTTTGAAATAAAGTCTAATGAGGCAGCAACAGTGGAGCTATGGTTTCATCATTGTCAGTCCTGACATAAAATCAGAAGACCAAACTTAAAATCCCACTTATTTTTGGAGTCAATAGTGAGAAGTAAGGGCAGCAGTACCTTTTTTTGAGCTCCCACAACTCTCTGTACATACTTCCATAATAGCCCTGAGCTTGTGCCTGCATCTCTGGGCCAGCCCCCACTCTACATTTCATCCCCCCCACCACTTCAAGAGCACCTTAAGGACAGACTCTGTCTTGGTGTATTCCCAGCCTCTAGAGTAGGGCTTGATATGTAGTAGGTGCTCAACAGATGTTGAATGAAGCTGAACAGCAAGAATAGCTGCCATTTATCAAGTGTCCATTGTACACCAGGTGTTGTACTGCATGCTTTACACTCAATAGTTTGTGTGCATTTCACAACAACCTGATCAAGTCAGTGTTTTTATCCTAATTTGTCAGATGAGGAACCTGAGGCTCCAGCTCAGAGAGATTTAATACCTTTCCTGAGGTCACAAAACCTGTCAGCAATAAAATCTGGATTCTAATCCAGGTCTAGCATCAGCATCTGTGCTTTCTCCCCTTGTACATGCTGCCTGTACAATGACAGTCTCACATTCCCAGAGAGCCTCCTTTTAGTACAGCTACATGTTGAGGAAGCTTGTTGCTAGATAACTGCATGAAGACAACTTGTAGTTCTCTTTTGCTTAATGATCAAAGGCACAAGTCTTTCCCATAAAGAATAAAAAAGGAAACAGTTTTCCTTTTTAACACAAGACCTTTTCTATTATATGAAATAACTGGATTTTGAGAGTCTGGAAGAGGAAGGAAGATAAAGCCTATCTTCAGAGTTGTACTTCACTTACCTGCAGCAGGTGATCTTGCTGCTTGCTTTGTGCTTGGAGACAGACTTTTGTTCATGAGACCACAATCCTTCGATGCAAATTAATATAAAATAAAATGGGTTGGTTGAAACACTACTCAGCAATAAAAAAGAACAAACTATTGATATATACAACTTAGAGAGATCCCCAGGGCTTTATGCTGAGTGAGAAGAATCAATCTCAAAAGGTCATATACAGTATGGTTCCATTTATATAACATTTTTGAATGACTAAAGTATAGAAATGGAGAACAGAGTCATGGTTGGGGATAATAGGAGATAAGGAGGGTGAGTGTGATGACAAGAGGTATCTGTGTGGTAATGGAGTAGTTCTGTGTTGTGGTGATGGTAATCTACACATGTGATAAAATGACAGAACTATATACACATTTTGTGCTAGTCCCAGTTTTCTGGTTTTGTTATTGTACAATAGGTACATAAGATGTATCCATTGGGGAAAACTGGATGAAAATTACAGGAGACCTCTCTGCTTTATACTATTTTTACAACTTACTGTGAATCTATAATTCTTTCAAAAGAAAAAGAAAAAAAGATAGATTGGTAAAATTCCAGCCAACTTTTCAGGAATTTAACTCTCAAAAAAAAATGACAATTTCACTTTGTCACTAGGAAATTGCAACCAAAATACAATTAGCATTTAAAGTAATGATAATCTCTGAAAATCTAGTTTCCTCTCTCAGGCCTCACCTACAACCCTGAGCTGTGCCGTGTTCATGGCATACTGGTTGCCTAAGGCTTGCTTCCTCCTGGCCCAGATGCCCTGGCTCAGTGCTCCACAGCAACAAGTGTATGTCTAGACTAAATAAGCAAATTCTACTCATTGCTGAGCCATGAAGCATGATCAAGAAGGTAGCTCTAGTGCACAAATATATTTATATAGCCAAGTGCAACATCGGGCAAGTTATATTTCCCCTATTTCTCCTGGTCCAGAATGCCTCCCCCAGACATTTCAACCTGTGCATATGTTATCTGTGCTCCACGGAGCCTGCCTAGAGCCTCCAGCTGGAGGAAACCCCTCCCTCCTGGGCTCCTTCAGCAATGCAATCGTCTGGAATCGGTCCAAGTTCTAGTTTCACTATTTTCTGGTTATGTGACCTCCAGTGAGTCACTTAACTGCTCCAAACCCCAGTTCTTTCTCATCACTAGGGTGGCAAAGAGCATAATACCTGACCTCAGGGGTCATCATAGAGCACAAATAGGAATTCATTTTTAAACCATAGCACAGTGCTTGGCATATTGCAAGCATTCAACAAATATTATTATTACTTAATATATATTTTTACAAATCCTGCCTCCTTCCAAGATCACAAGTTCCTTGAGAGCAAAGACTCTATTTTGTCTTTTTAATCCTCTAAGGTAAGTCAATAGACTAGTACTTTGCATGAAGAAAATGCTAAATTTTTAAAATAAATGACAGTCCTTTCTCCATTTATTCATGCAATGTTCTTTCAATTACATTCTCTATTTTGAACCTCAGAACTGTATCAGTGAGATAGACAAGGTGGGTAGCAGGTTCCTTTTAGATAAGGAAGCTGAAATACTGAGAGGGACTGGGTCTAGGACTCCTTGTCTAACAGCTGTCCCATTGTACCTACTATCTCTTAGCAAGGAAGACAGAACTGACAGAGCTGACAATCAGAACCAACCTTTAATGCAGATAACCTACAAGCCTCTGCCCATTTCACTCCCTCCCTCCCTCAACAGACATCTTACTAAGACCTCCTCTGTGCCAGCATCATGTCAGTGCTGTGAATGGGGCCAGGATGAACTCCTCTAGGTGTTCAGCCCCTCAGAACAGTAATGATGACTTTTGTGCAAGAAGTAGTTGAAACAGTAAAGAATTTCACATATACATGGATGTAGATCAACACAAATTTGGGGACAACTGAACTGTCCCTGTCAGGGTAAGTCAGGGCAGCAACACAAAGTTATGTCTGTGCCCTCCCATACTTCTTACCATTTCCTTCTCTGGGGCCTTTCTTGTTGTCTCAGATATCTTATCAGAGTCAAGGTCATTATTCACTGTCTTGGTTTCTACATACTTTAAAGAATAACTATGGGCCGGACGCAGTGGCTCATGCCTGTGATCCTAGCACTCTGGGAGGCTGAGGTGGGTGGATTGCTCAAGGTCAGGAGTTCAAAACCAGCCTGAGCAAGAGCGAGACTCCATCTCTACCAAAAAATAGAAAGAAATTAATTGGCCAACTAAAAATATATAGAAAAAATTATCCGGGCATGGTGGCGCATGCCTGTAGTCCCAGCTACTCGGGAGGCTGAGGCAGAAGGATCACTTGAGCCCAGAAGTTTGAGGTTGCTATGAGCTAGGCTGACGCCACGGCACTCTAGCCTGGGCAACGCAGAGAGACTCTGTCTCAAAAAAATAAAATAAATAAAGAAAGAATAATTGTCAGCCTCCCCTCAGTCTTTGAATGTAGATAAGTAGTATTAACTCTCTCAGGATAAAATCACCACATTCTGGACAGATTTCAGCATTTTTAGCCTAGATTTTCAGTTATTCCAGGACAGGACTTAAAGAATCAGAACCTACCAAAGTCATTGGAGGAACAAGATGCCAGTTGGTGGGTAACAGGATTGTAGGAGACACATTGTATAGAATCATTGTGCCTGGGAAGAAAACAACTGTAGATTATTATGTAGCAAACCACAAATGTCTGAGTGGCTACAACTGAAGATTTTAATGATGAGCCCATTGCATCTTACTACACACCACATGCTCTTCGGTAAGTGACCAACAAAAAGCACAGGGATTAATTTTCCTTTTCCTGGATTGCCCCTCACCTACCATTTTCATTACCACCCATCATCCTGGCCCAGTTCTGTTTTTGTTTTTTATATTATTTTTTTCAGCATATTATGGGGGTACAAATGTTAAGGTTACGTATATTGCCCTTGCCTACCCCGGCCCAGCTTTAACACCACCTCCTCCGGGACTGTAAACCTCCAATTTGTGAGCTGAGGAGATAATGATGTAAAGCACCTAGCCTAGTGCCAGGTACAGAGCAAGTGCTGTTACTCTTACTGTTTTGAGGAGGCTTGAAAATACAGGATGCAGGTGCAAAGAGGACATTACAGGCCATGAGCTGGAAATGTAGCAAATGCTTAGACAACAATAAAAACTGAGCAAGTCATGGTATTTCAGCCCCAGTTTTATCCCTTCTGGGTAACATTTTACTCACAACCTCACTCATTCATTCAGTTATTGATTCATTCAAAATTTGTTTGTTGGCCGGACATGGTGGCTCACACCTGTAATCCCAGCACTCTGGGAGGCCGAGGCAAGTAGATCGCTCAAGGTCAGGAGTTCAAAACTAGCCTGAGCAAGAGTGAGTCCCCGTCTCTACTAAAAATAGAAAGAAATTAATTGGCCAACTAAAAAAATACATAGGAAAAATTAGCCGGGCATGGTAGCGCATGCCTGTAGTCCCAGCTACTCATGAGGCTGAGGCAACAGGATTGCTTGAGCCCAGGAGTTTGAGGTTGCTATGAGCTAGGCTGACGCCATGGCACTCACTCTAGCCTGGGCAACAAAGCGAGACTCTGTCTCAAAAAATAAATAAATAAAAAAATAAAAAACTTTACAAAATAAAAAGAGTTTTGGCAATTGGCTGCACAACAATATAAATATACTTAACACTAATGAACTGTAAATTTTATAAATGGTTAAGATGATAAATTGTACATTACGTATATTTTACAATTTAGAAGAAAAGAAGCTGGGTGGGTGGATTATGCCTGTAATCTGGAGGCTGAGGCAGGAGAATCGCTTGAACCCAAGAGTTTGAGGTTACAGTGAGCTGTGATGACATCACTGCATACTAACCAGGGTGATAGAGCGAGACCCTATCTCATAAAGGAAAAAAGAGGCAAAGAAAAGAAAAAAAATTGTTCGCTGAGTACCTATTATGGACCAGGCATTGCAATAGGTACCAGGGACATAAGAGTGAGCAAAAAACAGATATAGTGTCCACCCTCATGGTGTTTACAGTCTGGTAGGCAATGTTGATCGATCATCAGAATAAATGCAAAACTAGAAATGTAAGAAATGCCACAAAGGAGACTCACCTGAGTCTAGAGGGGCAGAAAGGCTTTGCAGAAAAAGCAATGTCTAAGTCTGAGACCTGCAGGGTAAGTAGGGGCTAACTAGTAGAGGAACGGAAGAACATGAGCAGGGCGCCTACAGTGGGAGAAGGCCTGGAGCACACTGACCCCAAGTTTCTGGCTTTTGACACTGGGTGGATGTAAGACCATTCCCTGAGACAGGGACATTGGAAGAGGACAGGTTGGAGATGGGTGGAATCCATGATGTCAGATTAGCTGAGATGAGCTATATGAAAATACCTAGCCCAGTGCTATACTGGCCAACCTAGTAAGTGCCCAAGAAAAATTCATTCACTTATTCACTACCCAACTTTCCTAGACACCACCCCTATTCCCAATAACATAATTTCAAGTTCAACTTCAAAGAAAAAAGTTTTTCCTTACATCTTTTCTTTTTCTTTCTTTCTTTTTTTTCCCCCCAGAGACAAGGTCTCACTCTGTTACCCAGGCTAGTGGCATCAGAGTACAGTAACATCATCATAACTTACTATAGCCTCAAACTCCCAGACCCAAGTAATCCTCCTGTCTCAGTCTCTTGAGTGGCTGTAATTATAAGTGTGTATCACCACTCCCAGCTAATTGTTAAATATTTTGTAGAAATGGGGTCTCACTATGTTACTCAGACTGGTCTTAAACTCCTGGCCTCAAGTGATCCTCCTGCCTCGGCCTCCCAGAATGCTAGAATTACAAGAATGAGCCGCTACGCCTGGCCCCCTAATATTGTTTCTAAGGGGCTTTTGCTACAATTACTCAGTAAGAGTCAAACTAACAATACTATACACCTAAATGGTTACTTACGTGTACTTCAGAATGCCTTCCAGTTTTGATGTCCAGATAATAACACTTTTGTCAGCTGATCCAGAAGCAAAGCGCTGACCTAAAAGTGTTTTTAAAAAGAAAATTCTCACTTTTATTTTAAAAAGCATTTCCCAGAAAGAATTTCTTAGAAAACTAGTTCTTTAAGGTACCTAATAAGTGTCAGCTTCCTCTCTACTACTTCTAATCAGTCCTGGGAGGCAGTACTCTGGAATCAAGATGTTTGGGTTCCAAACCTGCTCTGTCTGGCACTGAGTAAACAAGAATGTATTGAGGGCCTACTACATGCAGGAATCAAGTAGTGATTAAAACCCATATGATCCCTACTTTCATGAAGTTTAGTCTAATGGAGGAAATAGGTATTAAATTAAATTAATCCAATGCAAATACAATGTGGTAAGAAAAGACATGGATCCTATGAAAGAGACTAAGGGGGACCTAATTTACTTTTTTATTTAAATTTTTATTTTATTTGACAAATAATAATTATATACATTTATGAGATACAATGTGATGTTTGGTACATGTACACATTGTAGAATGATTATATTAAGCTGATTAACATATCTATCACCTCAGATACTTATTTTTTTATAGTGAGAACATTTAAAATCTATTCTTTCAGCATCTTTGAAATATTCACTATTATTAATTATGATCATTATGTTGTGCAATAGATCTCAAAAACCTACTGCTCCTGTCTGACCGAAACTTTGTACCCTTTGGTCAGTATCTCCTAGGGGACCTAATTAGATGAGGGAAAGCCTCTCTGAGGATGAGCTTCTTCCATGAATACCTAAATGATGGGCAGAGTTTAGGCAGGTGCAAAGAGAGGAGTAAGACCCATCCACATGGACAGAACAGATGTACAAAGGCCCTGAAGCAAGAAAATCCCAGCATGTCTGAGGGGCCAAGAAGCAGCCAGTATAGAAAAGAGATGGGTGGCGGAAGGATCTCTAGGGGCTTCAGAGTCACAGTAGAGATCTTGCTCTCTATCCCCAGAGCAATGGGAAGCCAAAGAAAGGCTTTAAACAGGGGAGAGACAGATCAGATTTCCATTTTCACACTATGTAGCCTTTATGAAAGAATGGACTGAAGAGAGGCAATATATACCAAGTAATCGCTTATTAATTATACTGTTTAATTAATTATACTGTTAATTAAGTATACTTGTAAATTATACAGGTTTACAAGTATTAGAAAGAGTATCGGGGTATCTTGGCAGCAAACAATAGGAAGCCTTCAGCCACCCTGGTGAGAGACGAGGACTAAGAGGTAAGTACAGGCCAGATTTTGTACCTTGTTAAGGATTTTCAGACTTTATTCTTAGGGCTAGTCACTGCTCTCTGAGCCTCAAATCGTTTTTATCTGAAACACTGAGCCATAATAATACCTTCCTCAGAGGCTCTTTGTGAGAGTCAAGTAAGGTAATATCTGTAAAATACTTTTCACAGTAGCTGAAACATTAGATAGTAGTGTGAGCCATAGGACATTGCTGTAAATATTAAACAAATAGAACCTGCTCTTATTATTTCTGTCACTCGTCTCTCATACTGGTAGACAGCAGGTGATGAAAAGTATGGGCTCTGGACTCAGAGTCTCTGGGTCAGAATTCCTAGTAATGTCACTGACCAGAAGCACAACCTGGAACATGCTACTGAACATCTCTATGCTTTCATTTCCGAATTTAAAAAATGGAAACAATGGCCAGGCGCGGTGGCTCACGCCTGTAATCCTAGCTCTCGGGGAGGCCCACGCAGGCCGATCGCTCAAGGTCAGGAGTTCGAAAACATGTAAACAATAATAGTACTTACCTCATAGTTGATGTGAAAAGTAAATGAAGCCGGGCGTGGTGGCTCACACCTGTAATCCTAGCACTCTGGGAGGCTGAGGTGGGAGGATCGCTCAAGGTCAGGAGTTTGAGACCAGCCTGAGCAAGAGCAAGACCCTGCCTCTACTAAAAATTGAAAGAAATTATCTGGACAACTAAAAATATATATAGAAAAAATTAACCAGGCATAGTGGTGTATGCCTGTAGTCCGAGCTACTCAGGAGGCTGAGGCAGAAGGATTGCCTAAGCCCAGGAGTTTGAGGTTGCTGTGAGCTAGGCTGATGCCATGGAACTCTAGCCTAGGGCAACAGAGTGAGACTCTGTCTCAAAAAAAAAAAGTAAATGACAGTGTATGTATATATGTGTGTGTGTGTGTGTGTGTGTGTGTGTGTGTGTGTGTGTGTGTATGTGTACTGGGCAGGTTCAGATTTTCTTCTGCCTCTGTCACCCGTGAGACAGCAAGACCAACCCCTCCTCTTCCTCCTACTTTCCAGCCCATTCAACATGAAGACAATGAGGACGATGACCTTTATAAAGATCCATTTCCACTTCATGAATAGTAAACATATTTTCTCCTCCTTACGATTTTCTTAACAATATTTTCTTTTCTCTAGCTTACTTTATTGAAAGAATACAGTATATAATACATAGATCATACAAAATATGCGTTAGTCAATTATTTATGTTATCGATAAGGCTTCTGTTCAACAGTTGGCTATTAGTAGTTAAGTTTTGGGGGAGTCAAAAGTTATACACACTGGGGCTTGGACCCTGGCTAGCCAGAAAATAAACCTCCTCTTGTGTGATTGCAAAAAAAAAAAGTTATACACAGATATTGAACAGAGATCAGTACCCCTAGCCCCCATGTTGTTCAATAGTCAACTGTATATATTGCTCACAACTGTGCCTGGAATAGAATCAATGATTTAAAAAATTATCTATTATTATATAGTAATTCTTCATATTATTTTATATTGTTTTTCTTGAGTAAAAAAACTATGTCTTACCCACTTTTGTATCATGGTTGCTTATTAAATACTTACTGAACTTAAGGGAGAAATCAGAAATAAGCAGACTTAAATAACAAAACCATAATTCAATGTATCTTGGTTTTCATGTCTAAGGGGAAAAGACCAGTTTAGATGAATTATAAGACTTTTTAATCATCATACAAGTGTCATGAAGAGAGAGCATGGTACACTAGAAAGAACAGGGTCTCTGCACTTCGAAGACCTGGGTCAGGCCCAGCTAGGCCACTGTTACCTGTAATTACCCCAAGCCTCTTTTCTCATCTTTGAGAAGAGATAAGAGTCCTCTCACTACCTGCTTCAGAGGATTCTTGGGAAGATAAATGAGATGTGCATGTCGAGACTCTGCAAATGCTGTGCAGATGCCACTGCTGGCTGGTCATACTCTGACTTCCTCCAGTGCCCTATTGGTGTTGCTGGTCTAAGAGCCCCTCTCTGCTTATGAACTTCAGAGGCTCAACAGCCCTTAAGTACCTGCTGGGCCCTGTATTAGGCCCTGTACTGGCCCGGCCCAAGTTCCTCAAAGGCCACTATGATAAAACAGAAACTGTTCAGCTTTTCAGGCTCCCTCCTCATAGGTCTCCCCTCCACATTACTGTGGACTTGAACTCACACACATAAAATGTGACTACCATGGCGTAACACATTCAACAAGGAAGCAAGATATTAGTGTTATCTTTGGGCAACTGCTGCATGACCTTACCAAGCCAATTGATTTCTCTAGGTCTTCATGTAGGTCTCAAGTGAAGAAGAGACCGGGCTAATCAGACTAAAACTACATGAATAAAATTTAACATCTACACAAATTATGTGCATTTTTCTAGAGAGGGGTCTGTAGCTTTCATCTGATTCTCAAAGAGGTCTGTCATCCAAAAGAAGTTAAAAACCTGAGGTTTGAATAATCTCCAAGATTGCTTCAAGCACTATAACATTCAGACTCTCTGACTTCTCAGCAGTAGCCACAGAATGTTATCTCTAATCCTATATCCATTTGACACATGAGGAAACTGAGACTCAGAGAGACTCAATAATCAGCTCAAACTCACAGAGCTTGTGGTGTTGGGCTAGGGTTGGAACTCAGACTGTCTCACTTCAAAACCCATGTTCTTCCTGCTAATCTCACACTGTGGAGTAGCATGGATTCATTTTTAACTCTCAATTTCATACACTCATTCTCTGACCACCACCTCCCCTCCTTCCCAACCCACCTGGTGCCCCAACTGCAATTATCCTTCAATCTCATCAGAACCTACTACTTCTCCATTGTGGTTTTCTCTCCCCTCATTACTCAGCCAATGTTTCAAGGTTAATGTATGTAATAACTCCTTTGTGTATACCCTGTGTTCCTCCCACTTTACCTTCAGACTGCTTGCAAAACTACCTCTAGTTAAATTCATTTCTTCCATCCCTTTATCTATGTAGCTCTCAAAGTGGCTAGAGAAAAAGACATAATCATACCAACTGATCTCACTTTCGATTCATGATTACAACCTTCAAGTGGGCCCTTCATGTCACCAGTGGTCTCACTATACCTCCTGGGTCTATTCATTCTCCCACTGTCCTAGGCAATGATTTTACACTTTTTCCTTTCTCCTCAATTCACGAATACCTCCCTCCCCATTCTAACTCTCAGTTGATGTTGCTTCCTACTTCACTGAAAAAATAGAATTTTCATTAGACGCCTGCTACCACACTGCCCACCTTCTGGCCTCTGCAGCTCCTACCATGCCCCTATCTAAAGCAAATACCCCACCTATGCCCTAGATCCCATCTCCTCTTGCCCATTCAACAACTTTGATCCGGCAATTATTTCCCCTCTCTCCTACATCATCAACTTTTCTCAGCTACAACATGTACAAAACTGAACTGCTCATCTTCCACTGTAAGCTTTCTCTCCTGCAGCCCTTTCCATCTCAGTGAGGGGCAACTCTGTCCTGTCAGTCACCCAGGTCAAAAACCTTGGAGTCATTCTTGTCTCTTCCTTCTTCACACCCCACATCCACACATCTACACACATCTACACCCAGGAAAGGGGTGATGGTAGCTCAGACTTTGTAGGGGCAGAGGAAGTGGTGAGAAATGGTCAGATTCTGGTTAAACTGAGAGGTGGAGTCTCCCAATCTGTCAAACAATCCTATTGGCTCCACCTCTCAATGTAATCAGAATCTGACCATTTCTCACCACTTCCTCTGCCCCTACAAAGTCTGAGCTACCATCACCCCTTGTCTAGATGACGCTTCCTCACTCATCTCCCTGCCCTAACCCTCACCTCTTGCAGGCTATTTCCAACACAGAAGTTAAAGGGATCTTTTTATTTTTATTTTTGTTTTTTTTTTTGAGACAGTCTCACTCTGTCACCCAGGCTGAAGTGCAGTGGTGCAATCATAGCTCACTGTAGCCTTGAACTCCTGGGCTCAAGGGAACCTCCTACCTCAGCCTCCCATAAAGCTAGAACTACAGGCAAACACCACCACACCTGGCATTTTTTTATTATTATTTTTTGTAGAGGAGGGGGTTTCACTATGTTGCCCAGGCTGGTCTCAAACTCCTGGCCTCAAGCAACCCCCTGCTTTGGCCTCCCAAAGTGCTGGGATTACAAGTATGAGCCACAATGCTGGCCAAGAAGGAAAAGATCCATTTAATTTATAAATCAAATCAGATCCCTCCTCTACTGAGAACCTTTCAGTGGTTCCCTATTTTCACTGAGAACCAAAGCCAAAGTCCTTATGATGGGCCACATGATCTGGCTACCCACGTCTCTTACCTATTTATCCTCACACCCTACAATTCCCCCTGATTCTCTGCCCTGGCTCCTAGTAGGCACTGTCCCACCTGAGGGCCTCTGCAATTGCTCTTCCCTATGCAAGGAGCTCTCTTCCCCCAGATGCCCACTGCCAGAATCTCACTGCCCCCTGACTTCAGGTCTTTGCTCACCTGTCCCAACTCAATGCCCCACCCTCACTACCCTACTCAATACTGCATCCAACCCCTTGTCCCTCCCCAGCATTCTCAAACCCATTATTCTGCTCTACTTTTTCTTCTTCCATAACACTTGTTGCCTTCCAGCATACTGCTTAATTTCCCTATTTACTATATTTACTGTATGTTTCCTGATAGACTCTTCCTCCCTCACTCCTCCCCCTACCCCCAACATAGTAGCCCCATAAGGGGACAGACCTTTGTCTGTTTTTTCTCTGATGTATCTCAAGCATCTTGAACAGTGCCTGGCACACAGATGGCCCTCAAATTAATACCTGTTGAACTGAATGGTTGAATTGAAGTCTAAACAACTTCACTATCTTCTGAACCTGCAAGCTGTATTTTGGCTTACTGAAAATAATTAAAGAGTGGCTAAAGAGAAAAATGAACAAAGGCTGGACACCCAGAACAGCCTCTTACCATCCTTTGCATATGCCACACAGTACACAGTGTCTTTGTGTCCCTTGAGGGGCTGAAGTAAGGTGCCATCAGATGTGTCATAAACCTAGCAATAAACAGACAAAAAGTACAGATTATCCACATGATACCTATTAGTCAGGATTCCTGCAGCATTGCTACTGCTCTTTTTGTTTTTATAACAAAATATCTCTCAATACTCTAAATTCGTATTAAATAAAAACAGCACTGCAAAACCAGAGAGAACATGACTTAAAGTTGGATAACGAAGAAGTGGAGGTTCTAATTCTATGTACTATGTGAACAGGAACAGACCATTAATCCTTGAGAATCAAAGGTTTGATTACTTACTCCATGGAAATTTTCTACAAACTTCACTCATTCTTATATGAATTTGGATATATGTATGACCAATCTAGGCAGGCCCTCCTAAATAAAACCAAACATACAAAGAGCCAGCTACAACATGATTAAATTTTAGTGCTAGCCCACCCCCTGATATCATAGAGAGATGTTTCATATATGCTACCAAGAGTTTAAAAGTCATAGACCTGAACTCCGGGTGCAAGTAGGAGAGAGTGTTATAAAACATCTGTAATGTGGATTTAGGATATGTGATAGCTGTGTAACATCCATCAGTATGTGGAGACTTAAAAAACATACCATCTGAGAGATCAGGGCGAAACTTTCCAAAACGGATAGCGTGTTGGAGAAGATAACCTATGAAAAAATACTAAAAGGATTTGGATTGTTTACCCTGGAGAGAAGCAGTCTATGGAACAATTTAACTATGGTTTTAAGATTATGCAGTTACTATACAGAGACTGGAGATCAGTCAGTCTGCATATCTAAGGACAACAGAGAACGGGAAGTGGATTTACGCAGGAGGAAGGAGAGATCATACAAAGGTTTTTAGGTCAAACAAAGAGTTCTCTGAAAATTACTTTTATATACTAGGATAGGTTCCAGAGGGACCTTATGTTCTTTGAAAATATGAAAAATAGGACAGTATCCATATGGAATTGTTTAGGTAGGCCAATGCCTAAAAGTTGGCATCAGGCTAACTGGCTTTTCATGGAGGGAGTGCCTTCAGTCCTGTTGCTTGAATTTTTCTGGGGACAAAATGTGAACAGACACTAGCCCAGGTTTAAAGGCATTTTGATTAATTGTTTTAATTCTTTCATGGGTGTCTCAAAGTAAAAAGGGAAAGATTAATGACTCCAAAGGAGGTACTCTTCACAGGTTCCTATCTCATAGACAGTTTACTTACCTGTTTTAAAAAGCCCTTTTCCTTCCCTATTAAAAGGTAATGACTAGTTTTCCATCCTTGCCTTTTTTATCTCGAAAAAAAAATTTTAAAAAGAGTCAAATTTCAGAGTACTTACAAGAGGGGGGGGGGAGGAAAGCACTTAAAAAGGAAACTCAGAAAAAATCCTACCAGTAATCTGTTTCCTGCAGCCAAAATCAGTTGAGTTCCATCAGGCTTAAATGCGAGGTCGTATATACTAAACAGGAGACAAGACAAAAAAAACAATTAGGAACCAAAGTGATGAGGTCTGCTAATGGCCAGGAAAGCAAACTTCCATTATAAAATACTGAGTATGTATTGAGGAGAAAAGTAAAGGCTAAGAATTGCATTTGATTACAAATTCCATTCAACCACCACACCTTGGCAGCCAATTCAATCAAGATCCACTGGTCAGTTAGATCTTGATCCTAATTTCCTCTTGTTTAGAAGCCAGAGGCCAGAATAACTCAAAGGATCAACAGTTGAGGGCACTAACTCTTCTAAAAATACTATAAAGTCTACACAACCTGAGAGAATGTGTGAAAGCCAGTAAACCCACACAGAAACTTACTGAGTGCCTCTTAGGTACCAGGTACCAACAACTATGGGTAGATCACAGTCCCTCCCTGCCCTCAAGGAAATCACCATCTAAGGGGAAAGTATGAATCAGAAACATTCACAAAGAACTACCATAAGTCATCAATTCTAAGGCATACATTTTTTCACATTTTGTCATCTCTAAGGTTGGGATGCATCTTATAATCCATGATGTGTCTGTTTAACTGGTAGCATTTTTTTTTTTTTTTTTGAGACAGAATCTCACTCTGTTGCCCAGGCTAGAGTGCCATGACGTCAGCCTAGCTCACAGCAACCTCAAACTCCTGGGCTCAAGCAATCCTTCTGCCTCAGCCTCCCGAGTAGCTGAGACTACAGGCATGCGCCATCATGCCTGGCTAATTTTTTCTATATATTTTTAGTTGGCCAATTAATTTCTTTCTATTTTCAGTAGAGACGAGGTCTCGCTCTTGCTCCGGCTGGTCTCAAACTCCTGACCTCAGGCAATCCACCTGCCTTGGCCTCCCAGAGTGCTAGAAGCATTTTGTGCTTTCTTACTGATAATGCAAAATAATGGTATTTTATAATCAGTGACCTCCCAGATTGGGTGAAATACAGAATAATATTGTGACAAAGGCTTTAAGACATACACTAAAACATTTATTACAGTTCTCAAAGGAGGACTGTTTTTAATGTCAGGATGAAGCATAAAGGAAGTTGAGAGAGCCTGAGTGCAGCCATTTTGGCCGATACCAGGCCCTAACCACCCTGAACAAGGAAGTCACCAGCAAGTCGGCCACCCAGGACCACCCAAGGATGGACAAATTACTAAATTTACAAACAGTTTGCCAAACTGTTTGTGCTTACTTTTCTTTTCTTTTTTTTTTTTTCTTTTTGAGACACAGTCTTACTCTGTCACCTGGTGGCATCAGCCTAGCTCACAGCAACCTCAAACTCCTGGGCTCAAGCAATCCTTCCACCTCTGCCTACCAGAATGCTAGGATTACAGGTGTGAGCCACCATGCCCGGCCTGTGCTTACCTTTCTATGACAGCAGTTTATGACTAACGGTTATGGTCTGACCTCAGGACAATGCTGATCAAGTACGGGATTTTGGGACACATAAAAACGTTACGATTGCTCCATAAGGTGTCCCTCTCCTGCTCAGGAAAAGACCCCTACTCTGTCTGTGGAGTAGGATCTGTTGTCTGTCTCTCCATAAACTTTCCTGTAGCTAGTTGGCTCTATATTGAATTCTTTCCAGTGTGAAGCCAAGAACCCATTTGGCAAGTTCAGGGGACTTTCTTCCCTTCATTGGCACACCTCCTGCATCATTTTGATTTGAGGAAAAGATTAGAAAAAGCTTCTGGAAGAAAACAATATTTTTTAAAGGTAGGACTTTTGAGACACGTAAGAGGAGATTGGGTAGGTAGGCACAAAATTTCAGACAGAGAAAATAGAACAAGCAAAGACACAAAGGTGGGGACTAGCAAGTAATCTAAATAATCTAATTTGACTAAAATATTTGGCTAAGTGTAGGGAGAGAGAATGCTAGAAAAACAGGTTGGAGACATATTACAAAGATTCCTGAATGCCCCAGACTGAGGATATCATTGGTTCAGATGATTCTGGTAAGAAATTATCAAGACAGCACTGTCAAAGCAGCCTGTTGTAAAAGTTTAGCATGGATAAACTTGCCTGGTACTTGTTAGTAATGTAAAAATACACTCACAGTAACAGTACTTGGAGCCCTTATCCCAGCACTGTACTGAGCTCTTCAAATGTACTATTTTATTTCATCCTCACAATAATTCTGTGAAATAGAGATTATTACTCTAGTTTATAGATAACGACACCAGGGCTCCGATTTCAGTCAAATACCTCACCCAACATCACACAACGGGCAAGTGAAAGAGCCAGGATTTCAACTCTGGTCTGACTCTAGAGCCTGTGCTCTTAACCAATATGCTATGTTGCCTTCTACTACCTATCTGTTACCCTTAATACTTGAATAAAAATAACAGTAGCTAATATTTATTGAATACATTGATTACTGTGTGTGCCGGGTACAGTTTAAATCCTTTATTGTATTATTCAATCTCAAAACAACCCTATTTTGTGGATGAGAAAATTAAGGCACAAAGAAGTTAAATGATTTGCCTGAAATAAAACTGCTACTAAGTAGAGGTGGAGCCAGGATTCAAACCCAGGCAGCCTGACTCCAAAGACCATGATCTAACCATTATGCTCTGTGGTTTTCATTATCATTATTAGCATATGTCACAGTAAACAAAATAACTAGCAGTAGTTTTCATCCCTTATCAACAGCAATGAAAAAAAAAGATATTAACTACCTACTCAAGGAAAGCATCAGATGAAGAATCCAGAAGTTTTTTGTATAGGCTCTATTGACCTCAGAAGCTTCCTTTAATAAAAACTCTTCACAATTATTCAACAGTTAAGCACTGTTAAAAAGTGTAAACTTACATTACCTACTTTGATCCTTCAAACAACATAATGCAAGAGAAAGGACAGGCACCACTGTGCCATTTTTAACAATGAGGAAACTAAAGAAGAAACAGGCAAGTTTTTTGTCCCCATCACACAGCTGGCTGATGAAGAAACCGGAACAAGGGTGATTGTCACATTCTTTCTAGCTGGGCATCCTTCTGGACAAAAGCAAACTCAGGCCCTAAGTTCTTCAGCTTCCTTACCATTATGTGGTAACAGACCTGAGCCTTCCTTATTTCTGATGCTTTCCTTCTCTGAGCCCGGAGGCAATTTCCCTGGCACATTTCACATTCTGAGAAGTAGTGTGGTAGAGTGAAAAGTAGAAGGTTACTGGGGCCAGAAAGCTGACCTCCTATCTGACCTTTCATTCTCACCTACAAAACAAGCATAGAGAGGTGCCCTCTCACCTTACAGGGTACACAAGCCAGTCTTATACAAAGCTGTGGATTGCTATCATTGTGTATGAGATATGGGAGGGGGTCTGTACCTTTGATCTATAGTCATCCTTGGTTATGTGGCTTCCTTTCTGCCTTGTACACATATGAGCTCATCAAAGTGTTTCCTGTGTGGCCTCTTCTTCATAAAGGTCATTTGGGGTTGAATTATCAGAAAATCTGAGTGTCCTCTCAGATGTTAAAATTCATTTTATGTGAATTTCTTGAAATTTGCCTTCCTAAAATATAGAATATATGTCTGATTTGCCCCAATCTAAACTCTTACTGTACTTAGAATCAGTACAGTTCAGCAGGGCATGGTGGCTCATGGCTATAATCCTAGCATTTTTCGAGGCCAAGGTGGGAGGGTTACTTGAGGCCAGGAGTTCAAGGCAATGTATCAAGACCTCAGACCTTGTCTCTATAAAAAAGCAGAAAAATTAGCTGGGCATAGTGGCACATGCTTGTAGTTCCAGCTACGTGGGAGGATGAAATAGGAAGATCACTGGAGCCCAGGAGTTTGATGTTGCATTAAGTTATGATGACACCACTGTACTTTAGCCTGGGCAACAGAGTGAGACTATGTCTCAAAAAAAGGAATCTGTACAATTCAGTTTAATTCTGAATTAAATTATATAGTCTTTTATATTTTACATTGTTTTAGATACTATCTTGTCCCTTTAATTATAGTCATATGCAATTCAAGGGCAATAACCATGTTTTTGTTTGTTTGTTTGTTTGTTTGTTTTCTTAAGACAGAGTCTCACTCTGTTGCAGGGCTAGAGTGCCGTGGCATCAGCCTAGCTCACAGCAACCTCAGATTCCTGGGCTCAAGCAATCTTTCTGCCTCAGCCTCCCGAGTAGCTGGGACTACAGGCATGCACCACCATGCCCGGCTAATTTATATATAGATATAGATATATTTTTTTTAGTTGTCCAGCCAATTTCTTTCTATTTTTTTTAGTAGAGATGGGGTCTCTCTCTTGTTCAGGCTGGTCTCGACCTCTTGAGCTTAAATGATCCGCCTGCCTCGGCCTCCCAGAGTGCTAGGATTACAGGCGTGAGCCACCACACCTGGACAATGACCATGTTTTATACATTTGTGGGCACACAGTGCCCAGCACTGTCCTGGACACATAATAAATATAAATGATTAACTCACAAGATTTTATGTTGAATCCTCAGACTTTAATTACATTATGAGATCATAGATACTCAGAATTGGAAAGGACTCTAGACCTCATTTTGTAGCCCAACTCCCCCACCAGGGCAAGAATTCCCTACAAATGGCCATCTAGCCTCTGCTTGAACACTCCAGGGCTGCGAAGCTCACTCATCTGAAGGCAGTCCGTTCTACTATAGGATGATTTTCTCTCTCCATCTGTTCCCTTTTATGAAGAAGATAGATTGTCAAAAAATAAATTGTCAGATTCCATTGTAGAGAGATAGAAGGTGAGTCCTACAAATTGCCCTCTGCTTATCCTGCACCCACCCCACTATAAACTGAAGTCCCAAAGTGCCTCTCCAAGGCCTGCACAATCTGACCCAGTCCACTTACTTGCTTTGTAATCTTACACAAATTATGTCATCTCATTAAATCTTTTTTTAATATATATTATTAAATTTAATTTTATTTCTTTTTTTCTTAATTTTATTTCTTGCCTATAAATGGAAGTGGATCATTAAATCTTAATTTTTTCATTTGTAAATGGGATAAA